ATCTGACACATTTAGGAATGAAGAGAAAGTTAATGCACACATTGGTTTTCGTTGCTCATTCGAAAAACCCTTCCTCCCATCACCACTCAAAAAAAAAAAAACAAAAAAAAAAACACACAAAAAACACACTCTTACACTGTAAGGCAAACAAAGACATGCCATCAGGATGACTGTTTGTCTTATGAGTAACTCCATTGTCTGACTAGAGGACTCAACCGTCAAGTCGGCTGAAACATGCGACTGTGCATTGTGCACCGCTAAACAGTGGCAGAGAAAGGAAAGATTGAAAGCCAAAGGAAAGATTGAAGAAAGCCAATGGCTTCAGTGTTTTTTTGTTAAAAATTTTTTTTTTTCAAGAATGTAGCGTTACATCTTTATTATTTTTCTCTAACCCCCTCCCCCCCCCCCTCCTAAAAATCAGTGGCCGGTCATGAAGGAATTATTTTAACTGCTGGGGCTGCGCTCTGACAGGAGATATTTACGATGCAAATGAACAAATCGCACCTGGATATTTCAATGTATGGCTTTAAAAGAACGGAACTGGACCAGCTACTGAACTGAAACAAGTCAATCATATCAGCCACGGAGTAGTTATCTTGACACTAAAAAGCTGCTTACAAAAAAAATTATGAATGTTCCATAGGATACGACTCTTCCTTGGGGTATAATTTATTTTGAGATAGGGTCTTCAAAGGAACTATAATTAGATTTAGATAATTTGCACGCTACACTCCCCTCTGAAACTGCAGCAGCTATTAACAGCATCCATTCCTAGCAAGATCTCTGAGAGTGTCACCAAACTGTTATTTGTAAGCAAAATGTCCAGAAAAAGAGGTATAACAATTTGAAAAAAAAAAAAAGCACTTACGTAGAGATTATGGGACACTGAACCAGGTAACAGAAAATTACACATTTTTGGGGGGTGGGATAAAAATTCCTAGAAAATAATAAAAATTAGACTCTTAAGGCTCGCAAAAGGGGGGGGGGGGGTAGTTTTTCTTCTTCTTATATTGTAAACAAAAAACTGTGGCATACGGAAATAAGTTTGGACCATGACTTCGGAGTGGTGATTGAAATTAGACTCCGGAATAATATAATCCCACATTATGTTATCGAGAAATAAAGTAAACACGCTCCACCCCCACCCCCCATCAGCCATTTAAAACAAAATCTTATCAAATTTTTGTAAAAATCCTCAGGTGGGGTGGGCAGAAGGCACCCACTCAGCAAATTAGAAAATAAATGTGAGACGTGACGTTGCAGCCCAATAAAAACTATATCTACAAAACCCCCATTTTGCTGCGCGTAAACAATAGACGTTTGAGTGCATTAGACACATTTAAATAGTGTTTGTATTTACTCGCGTGATAAAGTTAGCGATCAAGTGCTGTCCCCTAAGTAAACTGCGGCTTTATATTTTTAAAGTGCTATTCACTGTTATACAGGCTTGCGGTGTCACTTAGTTCTGCCAGTCAGCCAGTCCGTGCCACGCAGAAATGTACGCATAGCTCGTTTCTCATACCCTCATTTACGGTGAAAAGGAAGGAAGGTGCCGCCCACACTAATCACATATTTTTTTATGCGTTGGGGGCCTGTGGTGACGTTATTCGGTCTTCTGTGTGTTAAGCGTCGGTCTGGTATCAATGACACGTGTAAGAAGCAGGGATTCCCATGCAATGCTCGGAGTGTAACTCTAGGGGACACACCAATATAAATACATTACAATACAATCACCTTTTGAAGAATTTAAGTTTTACATTCATGCCATCTTTCCTTATTTATGGATTTTTCTCCCCATCTTCTTCAATCTATTACGGTCCGCCTTAGTGGTATAGTCCTAAAATTCGGAAAGATTGTATTACTACTGTGCTGATTTTTCTTTTCAAAACACAACTATGTCGGAGCAAGTAGCATGCATGACCAACGAAATAACGGTCCACTTAATTTGCACTAAATGAGCAAAATGTATACCGGTACGTATACAACCCTCAACCTTCTTAGAAATTATCGGCTCCTCAAGATCTGGAGACCACTGACACTGCATAAGGACACTATACGCAAAGGATTGCAATGTTGTTTCAAATAAGATTTTCGGCAAATTCTCAGGTAGCGGTGTTCCTTTTTATTTGTTTACCTGTTGGTCGCGTTTGGTTGGTTATTTTTAGCGTGGCTCTGACTGAGCGGGTGTGCACTATGTATGGTTTAAAATAGTAGGGGGCTCCTCATTGTCGGAATATGGCGAGAGTGATTGGGGCAGGGACATAACTGACTTTATTGGCCGGGTATAGTCTGTGAAGGGGTAACTTAACTTCATAAGGGCTCAGTTAGGGACTCACTTCTCAGCGTATGTATGATATTTGAAGTGTATGCTATTTGAAGTGTATGATATTTGAAGGGTATGATATTTGAAGTGAATTGATATTTGAAGTGAATTGATATTTGATGTGTATGATATTTGAAGGGTATGATATTTGAAGTGAATTGATATTTGGGTTTGCTTATGCCTTTTAGATAAATGCGAATTTATTTAAATTCTAAATTTAAGTTTCCTAATCAGTTCATATCAGTTTACTCGTACACGCAGCGGTTTATTTTGATCACTGAAATAGTTTCTAGCCCTGGTGGTGTTTGGTTTTAGATTCCAACAGCATAGTACATATTTACCCCTGACTTAGGCTTCGCCCCCTTTCCCTGAGTCTGCTGGTCTCACGCTCACTTTTTTTCTCTCTTTGTTACTATATAAAATAATTCTATTATTAGCTCTGCTGCCCGACCACTACTCCCTTATAAGACGTAGGCAAGTGCAGACCCTTGACATATAATTGCCATAAGGATACTTATGTTTGAACGAACATGTGTGGCGTGGTAAGCCCAAATTTGCTTGTAACCACTTTTGCGACGAACTCGCACTGAACCACGCATATTTTTTTAGCCTACGTGAAATTTCAGATTGAATAAATAGATGCTTTTATCTAAATTTGATTGTTGATGTTTAATTTTTTCTGTCTCAACAGTTTGAATCTCGGTTGGAGATACACAACGCCTTCAATTGAAAGGAGGTAGGATTGTAAAACAAGCCTACAAAACTAGCCTTTACACCGCTAGCTTTTTTTTCCATTCAAGGGAAATAAATACAGCAACACCATGCAAGCAACAGAAGATCCCGATTGGGAAGAAGAGGAAGAGATGACTACGACAGAGCGAGAGCTCGCAGACGACGCACAATGGAAGTTAATTCAAAAGAATACATTTTCAAGGTGGGCTAATGAGCACCTGAAGACCGTCAATAAGCAGTTGGCAGATTTAGAAGCAGATTTTTCTGATGGATTGCGACTTGTTTCTCTTGTTGAGGTGCTGTCAGGAAAGAAATTTAAGCATGTCAACAAACGACCCAACTTCCGAACCCAGAAGCTTGAGAACGTTACCATGGTTCTTAAGTTTTTGGAAGAGGATGAAGGAATTCGAATTGTCAACATTGGTAAGCTAATGGATTCTTTTCAATCTATTTAAAAAAAATTAATTAAAGGCCTATAGATTATAAAATAACAATTAATTTATTTTACACTACACTCTACACATAAGTCAACTCAAAGTCAGTTAAGTAAATACTCGGGTCGGGTAAATACACTAAATCAGTAGCCTACTAATTAGTCCAATTAACTAAGTTAAATCAGTGAGATGAGTGAGTATCAATGAATTAAAATCAATGTAAATATTGAATATTCAGTAGGCTGGGCCTAAGTTACTAAGTAACAAGTAGGCTAATTAGTAACTAAGTCTAATTACATATATTATAATATAATAATAAATTTAATAAATAGTAATAGATAATTTAGAATCAGAATAGAGTTGATCTTAACTTACTGCAAATTAATAATGCACAATAATATTTAAAATTACTCTCACTTAATTTAGTTAATGTTTTTCATATGATTTACTGTAACCTAAATGCATGTTTCACATGATGTGAGCTAAGACCAAGTGTTATTATAATTATTTTGACACCTGCCTTGCATGGCTGGGAAGGTAATAAATCAAGTTTACCGCAGCTTTATTATAATGAAGCACAAAATGCTAAATATTTATCATAGTATAAGTATAGTCATAGATTAATTTTTGTTCTAGTTCTATTTAAGAGCAAATATTGTGAATGCAAAAATAAATTTTGATAAGTTTTAATTAAAATCCATAAATAAAGTGACTAAAATTAATAATGTAAAAATTCAATTACTATTGTGTCACAAACTGCACCCCACAACCCTCCCGCCCCTTTTTAAAAGAAATTTGCTTAAGAATATCACTAGAATAAGTTGAAAAATAAAATTGTGGAAATTAGGCCTATTTGTCTTATAAGTATGAAATAATTTATTTTTGTTTACATTTTTTTTTCTTTGAAAGCTACTAATTGAACACTTCCTTAATGAGTCACTGGTACTTCAGTCATTTTGTGGTTATCTAAATTATAAGTATCAGCTCTAGTCTCCTATTGTTCTTTTTGGGGAGGTGGGAGCTCTCAGCATTGTTTATAGCATGGAATGAGCTGATCTTCACTGCTATCATGAAAATATGATTATTTATACAAAAGTAATCTTAACCTTTTGTATCTTAAAAGTCATTGATTAACTTGCCAATATTGTCGATGGCGGTGAGGACAATTTTTATGTATTTATTAAGTTTAACTAATTAGTTCAGAGGAGTATTGATCGGTACAGAGGAGCATAGACAAACATAGAAAAGAAATGTTTAAACAATTAAAATAGTATAATACTTTTATAGTAAAGAAGTCTGCAAGTATAGATAAACAAGTACTGTGGTGTTATGACCCTCCTCAATTACCGCTTAATTATATAATGAGTGTATCCTCATGGAACAACCAGTAGAAGTTTTTCTCATAAAAGCTTTACCGGTACTTAAAAAATTATATACCCAACGAGTACTCTTGATACCAGACACCCTGGTACATCCGGTTTATGAGAGCTTATCTCTGGTGACTTTTCTTGTGACCTACTTTAAATACCAACTTGCCTTTGGTCCACCATTGATTTACAAGGTGAAATTTAGAGTGTGATAAGTGGGTTGTAAGATTTCAGTTTAAGGTATAGGATTGAAGTGGGGAGGGCACTGTTCAGCTCCCTAATATCTCTTGTCAGTTAGATATGGTATGCTCTGAAGTAGTTTAGATATATAAATGTTCCTAGCCACGCCTGGAAATAATATTTTAGAGTAGTAATTTTAAGGCCAATGGGGGCTTGGGGCTGACAGCTAGGACAACAAAATCAATATGCATAACATATAAGGATAATACAGGCTATTTCGCTTTCTACCATTGTGACCTACTGATAATTAAACATGATTAACATGTATTTACCATTTAGTATACATTTTTGTTTACTGGCTTCAAGTGCTCAAGTTTTGTTGGCTCAGCAGTTTGTGAGTGACTAGGCCTTCCTTGCCTTGTGGTAAAATAATTTTTCATATAATTTTGCAAACTAAAATCAGGACAGAAGACAATGGGATTAACAAAATAAATGATTACATGAATACCTTATTAGGAAAAAGTTTGGTCTCCTTTTTTTTTCATGATTAATGGAAATGAAAATATTTTAGGGTTTGGCAATTTGCAAAAACTCATCCAGTTGGTCCTTTCTAGTAATTGTTATGTGGTAAATATAATCCACCTTACGCCACCCATCAGCAAACCGGAAACTCTTATTTATATTTAATATGGTACACAGATGGACTTTACATTGTTTAGATATTTTGGTTTACATGTCATTGTTAAGGAATGTTTTCTAAAAATAAATAAACAAATATGAGGGTGACATTTTCAAACCCTAATTATTATACAATTCTCCAAAATCAGTAATTCTCCAAAATCAGTAATCGATTCTCCAAAATCAGTGATCGTTACCATGAACAGTGTCTAAGCATGTGGGGGGGGGGGGCGTAGGGGAGGGAAATTGTGCTAGCTAAGGTGTTCTTTTTATGTACATGTGGTAAACATGGGGGGGGGGGGGCGTAGAGGAGGGAAATTGTGCTAGCTAAGGTGTTCTTTTTATGTACATGTGGTAAACATTTAAGGATAAGTGAAGCTCAGAAGTGGCTACTATGAAGATTTTCTCCCCATCAAGTCTTCAGCAGAAACATAGCTTTTCAGTTATGCACGCCATGTACATTGAACAGATAGGGACGGACCCAAGGCCCCCCTGGTGAATTTATAGTCTTAGCTATGTTGGAGTTTTCCCATGCCTTTCCAAGTTAACTAGAGTAATAGGTGTGTCGCTGTTTGTGTGTTTGTTTAAATTTGTTGTCATTTTCTACTCTTGATCTCGCCTTTTGGAATCTCACAATGTGCAAACCATAAACAGATGGTTCAAATAGTGGCTTCAATTTCTAATGGTTCATATCGATCCTTTATGTATAATGTGACAGGTGGTCCTCAGTAATCAAATAGTTGGTTGGACTTGCAGCATGGTTATCTTCCTTGAACATTTTAAAACACTATCAGCTTGTTCCTTTTCATGAAACAGACGGGACTTAGACTTTTGCGCCACTTCCTTTGATGTTTTTTTTTGGGGTGTGTTGTCAACCCTCACTGAATGATCTTTAAGCATGTGCGTTTACATTTTGAAGACTGAACATGACCTCGTTCGACACCATATAATTTATTTTAGAGTTAGGCATTTTTCAACCTTTGGGTCACTGAAAATTGTCCTCGTTTGCTTGTTTTTTTTTTTTCTTTCTTTTTTTTTTCTTCGTCCCCCACATTTTTACGCCCACATTGTTGCAGGTTGGTATAACTTCAACATAAAAAACATAAAACAAGGACGTAGTAATTTGTACACTAAACTAACGTGGACACATTAAGACATTGACTGACACTGACACGGCTCTTTCTGCGTCCCTATCATGAGGCATAAACTAGTGGATTTTAAATATATAGGATCAAAAACATAGTATTTGTGAATCGGTGGTGCATATGGCATATATATCATGTGGGTGAGTAGAATATGGGAGCACACACATTATTCAAGTCTAATAATTTGGTTTATCGCCCATGTCATCATCTAGCAAACGATTGTTTTCGTTCCGTGTAATTCACATTTATGATTATAAATGACCTTTCGCCTAAAAAAGAATGTTCTCTAACTATTTTGCACACAGTCCGTTTGAAGTCTTTCGGGGAGAGCCTAATGAAAAAGCGGAACACGAGTTCAATAGCCCTCCACAAGCCAATGTTTGAATAAGGCCGATGTTGGTGGGGAAACATGACTAAAGGTGTCCAGTCAGCGATGTTCCTACTGAACTAACTACTTGACAAACCGGTGCCTTATTCTGGGGTTTATAAATAGAGTTTTATTTATTTAACGTCTACTACACCATAAAAGTCTATCGGTTATCATTTCTGTAGGGCAACAAGTCCAGCTTAAAAAACCAAAACCAAACAGTTCCATTGCTTCATCTTGTAACACCATCGTATTTAATGTTACATCGAATAGTATGGGGGAGACTATGACATCGAATAGTATGGGGGAGACTGTGATCAAGTTATAAACAGGTAATGAAGGATAATAACTAAATTTAGCATTTAAAAATTTAAGGCATACAAACACATTACAGTGAATATATATTCTAGGATATGCTATAGTATAATAATCTACCACTGTCTACAACATTTCATACGTGATTCTAATAGACTTCTGAGAGAAAAGGTCGCTGCTAGAGGTTAACACACTATTGCAGAGTTTAACTTAGATTTGCTGGAGCAGAACTTCTCAACTTTAGTTCATTACCACAGCTCGTAGTAAACTTGTTAGATATTTATTTTATAGTGAAATCCAACTGAAAAAATAAATTTATTTAAAGTGCAAAGTGGGGCGGCTTTCTTGCGCTTGGTTTCAAGCTAGTCATGTCTTAAATGAAATAATATAAAAGTGTCTTCCCCGTGTTCGGGCGGGTATATGTTTATGTGTTGCTTGTCCTCGGGTGCAGATAAAAGCCATTGTGTTAAAGAATCACCACACAGGAAGAGCCACAGGGTTCCTACTTGCTACAGATTACATTACGGTAGCCCATTGGGGGCATGTGGTGTGGCTTATTTTCATCTTTACTTCCACTTGCCAGGCTTAAACTTTGAATGATTGCTAGCTACAGTAGCGCCACTAGCACTTCTAAACATAAGATAATAAATGACCTTGCTAATTTCTGTTGAAGTGTGTTTACTACGCATGCGTGAGTTTATCTTTTATTTAACGAGTTTTCGCCTGCAGGATCAAAGTCTTTGATTCAAAGCCCGCCATAAACATGATGAAATGTGCTATTAACGAAAGGTTAACGTGGCTCGTGTTAAATACTTTAAATAGCATGTGTTATTGAAAATTATAACTACATTATTATCACCGTAGTCTCTATAAAAGTATTATCACTCTACAGTCTCCAAATCGGTCTCATTAAACGACACTAACTAAACAACTACTTCCGGGTATGAATGTTGACAACCCTTGGAGCCTAAAGAAATAACGCACTCTATTTTACAAAGAGTGTGGTTAAAATTACTTTTGAACTTTGTTTCTGAGAAAAAAACATTTCTCCTGTACCGCCTGTGGTAAATCCGATGGAATACAAGTACTTCCCGTTGGTTGGAAGTCACCGGCGAAATGGATGGGCCATAATAATAGCACATTCGAGGGGCCTGCAGTACTGTTGGCCTAATGTCTATTTATAGCTAATGGGTTGTAATAGCGCAGGGAAATTCTACTGGCATCTTTCAGGTTGCTTAGACACACCCTCAGTTATACTGTATCATTGTATGATATATTCAATGTTCTTGTAGCTTTCACTAATCTGCACTTTTGAGGAACTCTCCGTGCAATGTCAGCAATCCTGGACCCGCTTCAGTGACACAAATAACATACATTATATTAACAATTAGAGCATGGAAAACGGTGTTTGTTGAGGCATTGTGAATGACGCCCAGCTTGCTGAACGATGTAGCTGTCAGCCAGTAGGCCTTAAGGTGCTGTAAGCTTAAGAGTGTACCGTTGTTTACCTGCCACGACGAGACTGGCCCCCAACTAACAAGTATTTGTCCTGATTGCTGCCAAATCTAAGGTACACAAACATGTGCGTTCATGAATTTAAATTCAAAATTTATGAAAATACTTGGACAACGAGAAATGTTGACGAGGAACTTAAATGTTAACCGATTCATCAACTCGTGTTTTGGTGACCCAAGTTGCTTTTATTGACGGATCTAGGGAAGGGCAATGGTGGGACAAATGACTGCCCCCCCCCTCACAACTTTTCTGGAGGCGTTCATGATGATTTGCCTATGGTTGTAATATTTTCACAAAATATCATCATTTATGGTGTTCATCAAAGAAATCTGAAATAGTAGTTAAACAAAAGGAAATATTTTAATCCATGGGATGTGTATGACTCTGGAGAAAATCTCCTGATAAGTCAGCCCCGCAGAGCCCATTCCTGTCCCACTACTTATCCACGTCAGGACAGTGCAATAACTATTTGGAAGATACCAGCGGAGGAGTCAAATCGCCGTGATTCATACATAGTGCATGTATATTATGAATAGAGGAAATTGCCAAATTGTTGTTACCAGGTCAAAGTTCTTGCCACACCGACGTGTCGACAAAGCTTTGTACCGTGGGAGTTAATGCCATTTATACGTTCGTACCGATTTCCGAGGTCGAGCAGGATATAGTAGTTATTTGTAAACCACAGCTTCCGGGGAAACCATCACAGTGCTACGACTATTCTATTTAAAAGTACTCTTGAATGTGTTTATTTTTTTAGTTAGATCCCCTTGTATTTTACTATAATAGAATTAGGTCCTTTCCTCACCAAACGGACAGGATCCACTTTCCTTGATATCCCTCTCATGGCACCTCATCTGTATTAAGTTCATCAGTGTTTTAAAGAACAATGTTAAAGAACAATGTTAAAGAAAATAATATGGACAAATTGCGTTTTTTTATGGTGATGGAAGTTCATACAGCTGTGAATTAAGACTTGTCTAGTGCATGTTGTTCTTTTTAAAGGTTCTTTACGGAGCCTTATTATATATGATCAGTAAAGATATCTGAGATAAGTGTGTAGGTTTATTGCTATATGGATGCTACTTTTTTTCAGAGCAGTTACTGGTCTCCGCGGTACAACGCTAATATTTAAGTGTCGATACATGTATAATATTTCCACCATAAGTATTTCTAAAATATAGTGGTTTGTATTGGGACTGGCATGATTTACGTATATTTTGTTTTAAAAAAATGAGTGCACTGTCATTAATACGCTTACAGTTTCTGCTTTCAATTTAATTTTCTGGGATGTCTGTTCATTAAGCTCTTACTGAATTAGTCACTCGTCTGTATGCGTGCAGATTGCAGTTGACAGTTCAAAGCGGCTGTTCTACACCTGGGGCTAGCCTTCTCGGTTCAAACATACGCCTGACACATGTTGGAGATATTTAGATACTGCCTTGTTGAACACATTCTTTCCAGTGCTAACAAGTCTGAACAAAGTACCCACTTAATAAAACCACTGCCCTGGATATTACTGATAAAAGGAATGAAAAGTCCATGTCTAATTCCCCCCCTCCCCCAAGGTATATGGGGGGGGGGAGGAGGAGAATCCACAGGATGACACCCACATAGTTTTCCGTTGTGTGATGAGGTATCGACAATGACGTCGAAAGAGATAACACTGCACGACCTTCCCGATTTACCACCCTTGTCACAGTGGTAATCTTTTCTTGTCAGAAATGACGATTAGAACTCGAACAATTATTTTTAACTGGCACTACTTTTACAGCGGCATGAACTGTACATTATTTTCCCAATGAAGATTTGCGATGCTTGTTTTCTCTCTCTATTATTGTAAGGGTAATGCCTAACATCGCACAGACATTAACTGGACTACTTCATTTGAGTGAAAGTGGGGGCTTTCTAAGCCGTCTCTAAAAGGAGTTGTCCATATCATAGGTTCAGAGTCGGCTTGCTTCTCTCTCTCTCTCTCTCAAATCATAACTTTACATATTCTCTGATACGATCGTATTCAAATGGCTGTCCTTTTTATTAACGATAATAGTAATCATAAAAGTAATCGAGTTAATGTTTAGCTAAATACCTAAATGATAACCAACATTTACCAGCTAAGCCCAACAAGGAATAATAGTGTACGGTTGTGTCAAAGTGGTTTTGTCTTATAGGTATCTTACTTTAATGAATGTCTATAAATTTACATTAATGGTACTGATATCTGTAAACCCCCCCCCCCTTACACCCGGAAAAAAAAGAAAGGAAAGCAAATACATTTAATAAAATAAATAACATGAAATTTAAAAAAAAGAATAACAAAAAAGCTTTTGTTGATACAACACTAATGACTCCTGTCACCGATGGTAAGGATTTCACTCAAGCTTAAATGGCCACAACAATCTGACCGATACAAAAGATTAGAGCCGGGGGTTGGGAAGCTAATCAGCCAATTTGCTTGTGAAGCGAGATTGTACGTCTTTTACTGAACGGGGCAGGGATAACATTCCCACCGCCCAACCCCTTGGCTTTGTGGCCCCATTCTATGGACACAATGGCCACTTTTCAGTAGACCATCAAGTGGAGCCACCGTAACCTGAGACCAGTGATAACACGTAGGGGCGCCGACAGTACTTCTTGGGACTTGTCGTTTTGTCATTCCTCTGTAATCAGGGTGTGTAGTAGAAATATTGTTTATCTCTAAGAAAAATATAAAGCACCTATGAACTTTATTCAAAGTCGTCGGTGGCTACCGATCATTAGACAAGTGTGTTGCTTATTATTTTGTTTTATTCATTTTGCCATTCCTTTACTTAAAAGCATCTTGGTTTAAATACAACTTTGCATTGTCATTCCATCTGCGTTATTTCCGCTTTGCATTTCTCAAGTGTGAGGCTTTTAGTCCATAACATTTTTTTATGAGATAACTATAATTGCCAAAGCGTTTACGAAATATGCAAAGACGTACATGACTATCCCAAATTAAGCCATATGTGACGCTAAGCCAAGTAAAACACCCCTCCCCAATACGTCACGGAGCAACAAACCCGTGAAGATACCGGCTTCAAATTATGTATGTGACCCTCGTGTGTTATGGGCTTACCCCCCTTGCTTCATTTTTATATAGAAGTAAACAGTGCGTGAATAGCTTGTTGGATTGAATGAACAGGTTGGCGGATATCCCCATCCCATAGCTTCCACATAAACCTTCACATCCCACCACCTCCTCGTTCGTAGGGCTGAGCTGGGCGCAGTTTATTTTACACCCGGCCCGTCATTTGAGACAATACCCGGTGGGTCCGAGTCGGGTTGTGACAAATAAAGAGCAATCTTCTCATTTTCTATAAGGTGAAAAAATACAGTGTAGAACTAGTAGCGATCACGAAGGCATCAAAGTTGAAGGCTTCAAAACACTAATAGCTTAAAATAATATAAATTTACCCCGGCGGTTCTCAACCTCCATAGTACCATGACCCCTTTGTGGCTCTTGCCACGTTGGGGCGACCAACAATCAGAATTATACCTTTAACTTTAAATCGAGAAACAGTTGTTGAGAAGTGGGAGGGGGTGGGAAACTTTTTACAAGTTTAGATTAAAAGGTTTTGTCGTGTAATTGTGTTCGAGGGTGGAAGGAGGCAGAAATAAGGGCTAAGCAGAGTGGAGGGCTCTGTAGAGGGGGCTCTGTCAGTCTATCTCCAGAATAGTTGTGAAATTCGCGCACCTGATTATAGTATTGAGTTGAATCTGCCAACCTTTAAGTTTGGGCACACACACTAGTCAACAATAAAAATACAAGCAACAAATTAAAGTAATAAATAATGTAATATTTAACAGATGGTCAGAAACTGCCCAAATATTTATCGTTAACCAGCAGCCAACATCTACCGAATGTATCATTAAACATTTTAAAAAAAATAAAAATGTGGCTATAGTGAAGTTAGAATGTAGTAACAATAAGAAACTAGTCCCATCACTGTAAATAATATTAAGCATGAAAATAAAAATGCAAGTAAGAAAAAACAAAACAAAAACAAAGGGGTCGTGACCCACAGCTTTAGAACGTACGCATATTATTTTAATAAATATTTTAATCATCATCATGGCGATACCATCCTAGCCTTCTTCAAGTTCAGCCATAGACTAGAAAACACGCTGTCTTTCTATACTCTACCTAAAATCTGACGTCAGAACAAAAAATATTCCCCCCCCCCCCCCCCTTTCCCAACCTGGGTCTGAATTTTAAACATTAAACTTTTTTCTATTTAAAAAAACAAACAAAAAAACAACCTCATACTCCTTCATTGGTTCCTATCTTTGGGTCCTTTAACAATATTTAAAATATTTTAAAGGAAAAAAAATGCTTGGCCACCACAGCCACGTCTTACACATCACCTCTCTATTTCTCCTTGGCTTTGACCTATTTAGCCGCAAAACTCCCTTATAAGGACACCATTTAAAGTCAGCGTTAATCCACCGGTCCGGTCCGTTAGTCAACTTTTCAAATGTGAATGAGGCCGGCGTAGTGGAGTGTTGGCGGTCGATTTTTAATAACAAGTCGTAGCTACTAAGTTTATCGTACTTTCTGAGAATCTCTTATTTCAACAGCTTTCGATCTTGTCTGCCTTAAATAGCAGCAAGTTTAAAGCTGTAAACACAAAGTTTTCATTCATTGCCGTCTACTATAGATAGTCAGTATTTCCACACACAAATTGTCAGTGAGACGAACTTGTACTGGCCCTTAATAACGTTGATGTTTATGCTTTGATGAACAATGAAAAACGTCATCATCAACATCTTATTATATTAACCAGAGAAATCTGCCTATGATTAGTCGGCCTTCATCCACTTTACTCCTAGGACTGCCGTCTGGTTATATAATTGGGGGATTCATTGTTAGCTTTGATACGCCCACCACGTTTTTTAATTTTCTTTTTGTAACTAGTGATATTTAGAGAATATTTTATTGTAGAATATAAAAGAGTTGGCATAGTTGCTGTTTAACCTTTGAATGTTCTGTAAGTCCAGGGTTGTGGTAAAGACGAGTGATTTAGGCCACATACATTTTGTGGTCAAGTTGAAATATAAAACCCCCGACTTAGATAGCAATTTCGTTCGCCCCATTAACTCGGTCCAACCCCCCCCCCCACCCTCCAGTCCCCCCTCCCCACCCTCCAATCCATCACGGTTGTCGCCAGTCCATGAAATTGATAGCACAGCCAGATAATTTCAGTTATAACCGAATTCCTTCTTCATTGTACGGCGATACAAAACTTGATAGAGTTGTATGGGTGGCTTTCATGCTTAATTTACCTTAATACCCACCAATAGGTATTTTAGATGATGGTATATTCATGGTGTGTGGGTCGCACATAAGCGCACGTCTGTGTTTTACTCGTGTTAATAAACGTGTGTACAAGAATGCAGGTTAACAACTGCTTGTTACCCCGCCCGCTAGACTGAATTCTCTGCCTCTGTTTTGGTTGATTGTGGTTGGAGATTTGCATAATGTTGTGGATTGTGTCTCGCATGGCAAATTTTTATTTATTTGAATAACTCTACGATGCCACCATTTTATATCTTTATATTAAGTAGAAAAGGAAACATGTTAATGTCACAGCTTTGACGAGATTTGAAGACCACCAAGTTCTTTGTTGGCCAAAAGTTTGGGTCAAAATCTCCCTTGAAATATTCCTTTCCCCTAAACATTAAGAAAAAACACGCACTCACACACACACACACACATACACACACACACACACACACACATATATATACACACACATATAATGAAAGAACTAAAGTTTACCTGTCGACGTCTGCATAAAGTAAAAGCAAACAATTTATCTCAGGGGATCCACCATTGTTATTTTAACTGGAGTACGGCGTTATATTTTATAAAAGAAAACAGTTTGTCGAAACACATATCATAAACCCCCTAACAAGCTCCGGTGTCGTGTTTTCCTCTTAACATAATAATGGCGTGCAATGATCTACTACCAGGGATCACTTGTACAAATATGGACAGACACATGATATGGGCCAATTTGTATGGGAACGCGGGATCAGGGTGAATTTAGACAAGTACAAGTGGTGAAAATATGGTTGATGCAGCTGTTTCATTTTAACCCTGCCTTCTTGTCTAATGCATTTTAAAGATGCGTCTTCTATATAAGGTAAAGCAAACAAGTCTGAAGACAAATTGAGCTTTAGATGAAAGAAACGAATAAATGCAACATTTTGTGGGTCCCATGGCTACCTTCAACTAAACATATTATCTCTTAATCTTTTTGCTTCTTGTATCCTGCTTCCTCTTCAAAACCGCCCTTCCCCCAACTCCTCAAGTTTTATATCAATAATACTGATTGAAATTAATGGTGTCACGCAGAGAGCGTCATGTGTGATGGTTGAACTCGGGTAAATAGTTCAATTTTTTTTTTCTTGGTGGGGAGGGGGGGGCGACTATCATTATTATGGTGTGGGACTGTATGTAGGACCATTATTTAAAGGACTGGTAGTGTGTAGGACTGTCTGTAGGACTATTGTTTAAAGTCCTGCATATAGTATAGACAATGAAAAGTTAACTCATTTTTTAACTATTGGGTCCACCGGGTATTTCCTCAAAATACCCGGACCCGGTGAGTAAAAGCAGCGCCCAGTTAAGCTCTAGTTATTTGAATACACATTCTTGTTAATGCTTTCCCTTTAATTTCTCTGCAAATTCAAATAACAACTCAGAAGATAAATATCGACATGATTAAGTATAGTGAGGAGTTATGTTCAAGCTTTGCTATAGGGAAAATCATTTTTCTTTTCGTGAATTGTAAAATGTTTGATAGAACTGTTGCACTCAGAAAACCCGGCTGTTCATGGTTAGGTACCGCTGATCACAGAAAAGTTTGAGGCGGAGGAATTTCATTTCTCACCATCGTGTTGACCGTCTGTGGTGCTTTTATTTAACCAATAGGTGAGGGCGAGCGAGCGGATGCAGATATTCTTATACTGCTTCTAGCTCACTGCATCCTAAATTACCGGTAATTCGCCTTTCGAAAGACCAGCTCTGTGGTAATGTTCAACAAACTACAAACGCATACGTTGTGCATGCATTTTGTCAAAAGTTCAGCGCGGATGAACATTTATTCAACAGCATACAAAAAAATGTCCTTGAAACATTCTCGGCGACTCTTGAAATGTGCTGACCTCTTGAGAAAAGAACAAGAGCACTGTAGTGGTATAAATTGGAAGAGTGACATGATTATAAAGCCTGGTGAAAAATAGTGTGGGATTAGAGGCGCGGGGTATTAATTGGATGATCCCTAAAAGCTGTATGTTTATCGGCATGGATTTGAATAAATAATAAGTGCATAAGACATATTGGACCTGTCTACTTGACATTTTTTTCTCTTTCTTTTTCAATGCATGTGTTATAATGACGTACATTCTGTACCAAAGGCGCAAGGTTCAAGCTATGTGTATACATAGTGCAGGTATCAATGGTCCTTTGTGCGGTCAAATATTTTTACTGAGGTTACTTTGACCTTTTTACATGTCCTGAATAAAAAACCCGGTGTCAGCCAGGAGCAGGGACGATGACCCACAGGAAAACACTTAAACATCTGTTGTTTGCTCTGCGATAGGGACAATGAAGCAACTTAGAAAGAAAATACAAGCGCAAACAATAGGATACAAGCATCCGCCTCTGAACATATTTCTTGTAATCAAAATCGCTATATTTATTCACGTCGAGAGGCCTCGTCGCAAACATTGTATCAAACTGTTGAACACGTCATTTGATTAACCCAGGAGAGCACCCCGATGTCATTACTCAATACCACCTGATTGTGCACGATACATTTTTGGTATTTTGTCTAAGTTTAACATTTATATCCTTTCTCTTTGTGTATGTGTGTGTGTGTGTGTGTGTGTTGCTAGCTTCTGTGTTCAAGTTCTACGTGAGGATTATTTTCTAAACCAATGAGATACAATTTAAGTGCTAATTGTGGTGCTTCTAACATAAGACGCACTATCTATCCACACATCATGTAATCTTGTATTTTTACTTGTATTTTTACTTGATCCATGACATTTAAACATTTAGTATGAAGTACCGAATTTTTCTTCATTAAATAGAAGGAAAAAAAACCTTTAAAGTATGTTGCCTTTATATCTCTTAAATTCCTACAATAACCTGTAGAACTGTGATAATAGGTGTACGGTTACAGTTTCCGTAAGATAATATTTCCTCGTCTCAGTTGGATAAGTTTTGTTATCGGACATCTTGTTTTATTGCCTCACTTAAAGCAGATAATTTTTCTCATGCCGTAACAGGACCAACTTCACCTCCTAGAGTTGAAAGCGTGCATTCGTATCGTGTATCAACTGGAGACGGCACGTGATTGTGAATGTTCTTAACGTTTGCTACATTCCCCCCCCCCAACCACCCCCATTGACACTGTTCCTCTCTTTCGACAGGAGCAGTGTTTCTCAAACTATTTTCAGGAGAAAATTTGTCCTCTCTATCGACAGGGTTTCGGTAGAAAATTTGTTTGTATGTGAGCTTTATGGTAAGAAAAGACAAAACAGAGATGATTAGAACTGCGTGTTGATTTCTATTTATACTGTCGAAACCTTCGTAGTTAATATTTCCATTTATCTGTTTCAGATATAGTTGAGTGTTATCTCGTGTCGAAAAAGTTGTAGAAACTGTGTTTTTTTAAAGATTTTGAAACATAATTAATGGATAATACAACTGTTATTGCTGTATTTTACTGTACTTTTTTTTGTTAGTGGTAAAGTTGCTTTTGATTGAAGCCTAAGTGTGTTGTATCTGGGTCCGATTTTTTTTCCATCTACCGGGAAGCGTGTTAACGTTCGTGATCGTCCATAGTTTAAATTAATATTTACGCTCATGGCCATACTCCCACGCAAATAAATCTATAAATTAGACAAACAAGCCGTTGCCACCAGGTCATCAATGGTAATGAGATGTACCGGTAGGCTGGTAGGTTAAGTCAAGGTCTCCGCGACTTCTCTTGAAATGACCATACGGGATTTATAAAAAGGACTTACGAATGAAACGAATATTCGAAATGTGTTAGGACTCGACCTTTAGCTTAGACTGTCCTTTTGACCTAGGTTGTTGAGTGTGAGACTCGAAGTTTTAAATAGTCTTAGAATCTGGCCGTGCCATTATGCACAGGTTCAAAGAAGGGAAAAACAATCACAAAATTATGTTATTTATTTATCCGAAATAGGGGTAAAAACACTGTATCAAAAAACCACAGTCGGTGTTTAATAAACTGAGTGACAACAATGTGGAAATTTGGTCTCACCCACTGTGATGTTTTCTTAAATATGTACGCACGAGGAATTAACAGGCAATTAAATATGCACATGAAGCCAATAGCGAAGTTTTCAAGCTCCATACATTTTAATTATTATTGGGAATGTGCTGCCCAGTTGTTAGCTAAAAGTATAACTTATAAGATAAGTTAGAACTTTATATTTTTTATGTTATAATATCTATATGCTTGTAAAATGTTTTCTACTTGTCTTTTTTCAGACAGTACAGACATTGTTGATAAAAAATTGAAGCTGATCCTTGGTCTGATATGGACCCTCATTCTCCACTACTCCATCTCCATGCCCATGTGGGAGGGAGAAGAACCCACACCCTCGGAGAAAGCGCCCACACCCAAGCAGAGGCTGCTCAATTGGATCCAGTCCAAGGTGCCTGATCTTCCTATCAATAACTTCACGACTGACTGGAATGATGGAAAGGCCATCGGAGCTCTTGTGGATGCCGTGGGACCAGGTCAGTTGTCTTCTCATTTATTGCTGACTTCCCTTTCTGATGTCCATTTATTTTCCCGTAAGCCTCTTTCTGATCTCCTCCTGGACATCGTATAACCCTGGAACTTGTGTGGTGGTGGAGGAACAAGGATCTATGGAAAGCATAACATACAAATCAGGCACTCATAATATACATTTACATGAACATTTGATCTTGATAAACTTCTAAAATAACTACTCTGGTAAGGGACTATTTCATAAAAAAAAAAAAAGCAGCAGAGACAGTCTATGACACTGGTCAGAGTTGTTGTTGCATTCCCTGTTATGCAGTAATTAGTTTAACATTTAAAGAAGGAAAATAAAAACCGAAGTGTAAATGGTGAGTAATGGTAATGTAACAGTAGTTGATGGTTCTTTTGTACCTTTTCCCACTACCTCGGCTAGGTTATTGCTTGTCAGACTTATAACCTAGTCTTGTAGCCAGAATAACCTAATTGTAATATTGTTGTTCACTAGGTTTGTGCCCTGACTGGGAGGACTGGGATCCCAAGAAGAACAAGGCTAATGCCAAGGAGGCCTTGGATGCTGCTGAGAAGTGGCTGGACGTACCCCAGGTGAGTTGGTTGTCTTACTTGCATGGGTCAACCTCATTAAAACTTTTTTTTAGATTCAGATCTGTGTACAATGAGCAGCTAACCACCACCCCACTTTTTGTTGTTGTTGTTGTTGTTTTCATTTTGTTTATATATTTTACTGTACACACAAACAAGAGAAGAACTTAAAATAGAGCATCATCAAGCATCATTACATGGAATATTTCAGTGGTTCATGGTGTAGATAACTCAGTGGCCATAGAATTCAATACGTTTGGGAATGGGACTCAAATTCTGAACATAAATATCCATCCATACTATTTCAATAGTCCCCCAAATGGTGGGTGGGGGTCATGTTGTGAAAGTCGGCATTTGTCTCTGCATTCTAAAGCTTTAGTACCACAGCCTTTGTTTTCTAAATGATCGCTAATTTACTTGTTTTGTAACACCCCTCGCTCCTAGGTAAACGTGATGTTCCTTGTGCTTTTGGATGATTAAAAATGCATACTAAATATGGAGCCAAAATGATCAATAAATTGATCGTGGGCCCTTAAGATATAGAAGAAGAAGAAGAAGAAATATACTGCTTAAAAAGCAAACACGAAAAAAGCGTCTTTAACACACAAACACCCCCCCCCCCCCCCCCCCCCCCCCCCAACACACAACCACCCCCCCCCCCCGTCCCCCGTCCCCGTCCCCCCATTTATTTTGACACTAATTTCTAAGTCAGTGTTAAATCTAGAGTTTATTCTAAATTATTTTCTAATGATATCACCTTTCAAGTGACATTTTATGGTGATTTAGTTCAGGATGGGACTGGTGTGAAAGCGTATGATAAATCTATATTATATCAACACCGTCGAGTAGGATGAGGGAAGAAAATACAATGAACGTCGTTTATTTGTCCACCAGGCTTATTACTGACGAAAAAATCGAAACATTAGGTCGTCTTTGGGGTTTACACCTCTGATCGATAAAAATCAATCATTCATGGATAATATCCACAAAGAAATCGATGCATCGGAAGGTCGCGATGGCAGATCGTGGGCTAACGGTATGTTGAAGAGGGCGTTCAAAGATGATGTGTGCTGTGGGAAGTCCCGTGACAAAGCTCATTAGCCGAGGGGCCTTCATCGTGCCTATCTTAGATGTACTGCGGAGATAGCGTTGCTGGGTTCGTGTTCGTGGGGGACACAGCTTAAATGATGTTATATAATATTCAGCGGCGGAGTCAGGTCTGGCACCCAAGCACATACTTCAACGCGCCTGGTTGTTTTAAAGGAGATTTGATAGAAATAGATTTACCTCTGCCAATGCTAATTGCAAAACTAGACATACAATTGGTTTTACATCTGTACACATTTTGTAGTTAATATATGTTTGTTTAGAAAACGTAATCATTTGTGAGGAGGTCAATTTACCTACCGAAAGTGTTAAACCCTGAACTGATGACTCTCTTTGCAATTGCAAGTTCAGACATTCTGTTAGGAGATCAAATGTCAAAACCTTATGCCAATCATGGATTTATGAAACATGTCAAAACCCTACGTCAATTATGGATTTATAAAATATTTAAATATCCTAGACCAATCATGGATTTTAGACATTCCATACAAGTGTAGCATATTATACGGTGTTTAATGCAGAAAGCGCAAAGTAAAGTTTCCGATATACAAAATATTTATTGAGTACGTAAGCCTAGGCTCTGGCATCCGTCTTGGCTTCCGTGTAAATAGGAGGGTTGAGCCACTAATTGAGGAAGAAACATGAACAATAGATTGGGATGAGAAGCATCGCGTATAGCAAGCAGTCATACCGGAATACCATAGAAAGCTCTGGCATCCATATGTGAAATTCCATCGTATTTTAGGAAGTGGCTTCTCAATTCATTGGCATGTATGAATGTATGACCAAAAGGATTATTTTAGGATTTACATATCAGAGACAAATTGAATTGTTTACGCTTAGATACATTTTACAAACGATCTGCTGCAGCTGACCTGGGGGGGGGGGGCGTTTTATTGGTTATATGATTCTGAATGAGTAACCTTTGGAGTCAACGCTACTGAAACTTGTTGAGGACCACTGGTTAACTGGGAAGAATTGCTGGACTCTGGCCCTGGGCCACGCTAAAACATCAAAAGTACNTGTGGGGGGGGGGGGGGGGGAGGGAGTTACGAGAGAGTGGGCTAGGTGGGTGGAAACGAAAACCTGAGATAAAATTTCCCCGTTTCTCTAGCTTTCTCCTTCTCGCTCTTTCCTCCTGAATTCAGGTTTTGCCAATAAGCTGATTTCAGCAAAATAGCTTTCCTTGACTCCGTGGATTATTGTGGCAGTTGTTAGTTTTGGAAATCTACACATGGATAAGAATGGAAAAAAAAAAGTCGATTGGTGTGAATCATAATACATGAGTGTAGGGGAATAAATGTTATTACGAAAGCTTAAAATAAAAATGGGGGTTTAAAGGATAAGAAAAAATGGGTCCTTGATAAGATAAGAAATCTGCAAGCTACCTGTAATTCTTCCGTTTCAAAGAAGTGCTCTCTTGTCTCGTTAACTTCCACCAATCTCATCCCATTCTTTTCCCCCCGTGTCACTGGTAGTTTTAGATGTGGCATCGTATGGTGCTTGGCAATAATAACATGTTCTATAGAATTTCTTGTTTTAATACAGGATGGTGCTTTCAGGTCCAACGTATAAGCAAAATATTTAGTTTTTCAAGAATTCGAAAAAAAAAGTACGTAATTTTCCCCTAATCTATTATTCAAACATATGCTTTAATACATCTAACTTTTTAATATGACCAACAACTAAAAAATAGTAGTAATAAAAATGCCTTCGTTTGTAACCTGTGGGAAATGAAACACAATGTTTTCCCACGCTGTTCAATGCGTTAAACTTTTGACCTGTCGTTAGACTTTCAAAATTCACTTTGTGAGTACATTTGATAGAGTGGTTGAAGGGGGAATCATCCGACTCCGAAACTGCTAGACCGAATATGGTTATAAACCCAAACTCCAAGTCGGGTTTGATATGATGTGTGATAACAGGTCGTGATCAGAACGACCTCATAAAAACGGACCCCATGTCTGTCGTGGTTTGCCTTAAAGGTCTGCTTTAATTCAATCCTACATTCCATTCACAAACAGTACGCCCTTTTCATGTCTCTGCGGTAGTCTGCTGGAAAACCATTGACGTCGCAGTTTGTAAAAAAAACTAGAGAACCCAGCCGAACAGATCAAAATGTGTACCTGGGTTAGATTAAAACCATCGAGGCTACCTGCCGGCGGGTCGCGTGTTCTCAACTTGAGACACGAGTACCTGTTTTTAATACTTGATTTTGGTAATATTGGTTGAAAGTCATGGCTTAAACTCAGAGCTTGGTACCTCGCAGAGTTTCATCCTCCAACAAACATGCACGCGTTTTGTTACGGTGCATCTGCTTTGTCAGCTGTGTTGTGAACATGTTTAGAATCACTGCTACACAGTGTACGAGCTTCTAACTAGACAACCAAAATATGTGATGATTTAAGCGAAACAGTTGAAGGCCCGGTGTTAAACCAATCGGAGACTGAAGAGATTAAGTGACTGTGTATTAACGTACTCAGTCGCTTTTGTGAATCCTTGCTTCCTTAACCCACCATTAACAGGGTACTTGGTTCTAAAAACCCTGGCTTCAGTGTTAGGGCCCAGTGCTTGGTTGTATTGTTGTTAGCGTGGGGTCGACACACTGGGTGTTCTTTTAACGAATGACTATATATAGTGTCTTAGAATCGAGTTGCGCTACTGAGTAGGTTTGAAGTAAGTTATTGCTGATTTTCTGCTCAAGGGATAGAAATAGTGACCAAGTCAAACATTGAAAGTTCGAGCAGGCCATTGATTTCCGTTTATAATGAGAATTTTATTGGGCAAATAAGTTTCTATACTATACAGAAATATGTTCAGAAATGGAGTTGAGGTGTCTCCTTGAGTTTTGAGATAATGTTCACGAATTATAACAACAATATTTCTTTTTTTAAGGGACATAATTAATGATTCTTGTTAATTGTGTCTTTGCTTAACAAAATACAAACCTGGCAATAACTCAGTCTGGCAACATTGTCTTTTCTCGGTAGGGCGTGCAGCTAGTAAATATAATTGGGTCAGTACAAGGACCTTTTTAGCTCATTACAGCGCCCCCCCCCCCCGCCTATTTTTTCTCCACGTTGTTAAAAAACCAGTTCAACAAGTTTTTTTAGTCCCAACATTTTTTTTCTGTTTGCCACCAAAACTAGATCACTATTTTACTCATTAGTTACCAGGGAGTATTTGCCTTGGGTGTGTGTGTGAGGGGGGGGGTGGGGGCAACTGTTTTACCACAAGCATTCCAACACCCAGTACCTTGTTTATGAAATGGTTGAACCAGAGTATAACAAACTACACGTTTTAGACCTAAAACCCGTTCAAATAGATTAATGAAAAAGCTCTTTAGAGCAGACATTTTTTGATGATCCTACTTTCAAATAGCGCAATCATGTGTGGTAAACATGAGTGACTCGTGAATGGAAAGATCACTGCTTGGACGGGGAAACAATGCAGATACGGTGTAGAGACTTTGAGTCTTTTGTAGATTTATCACGAATTTTTGTTTTCCTTGGTCTTTGTTTTGTCATACAAATAATAAAGGTAACTGATGAGACACGCACAAAAGAACGAGTGTGGTGAAAAGTAATGCTGGGGAGGATTCGAAGACGGGGCAGATAGGCAATCAGCGGAGTCTCACATTTGCATTTCTGAATTTGGCATCTAACATATGCAGTCAGTCATGTGAATGTGGCAGGCAAACACTTGATGTTCATAACATAAGAAAACTCCATTTAGGAATAGTGTTGGAACTGTCCTTCTCTCACCACCTTGGTGTATAAATAATTTCATTTTGATATTGTTCTTGCTTAGCTTTACTATCTTCTAAAAAAAAAAAACTCCCCACAGTTTCTTTCCGTTAATTCCATTCCTTAAGGTGCACTTAGCGTTTCTTTCTGTACTTGTTTTCTTTCAACTCTTGGTATTCCATTTGAGCAGTGGATTAATCATTTATCTGGTTTACTCTCCGTTCCCTTTCACCCAAACCGATGCAACAAGTGGCCTGCAATCTTTTGGAGATCAATTAAGCGTTTCAAACATCGATTACAATATACATATTCACATCTCGCATCATGGTGCACTCTTCCTTCAAAACACACCTGGAGATTAGAGTTAAAAAGGGGAATCTTGATTTATTGATGTCTGGTTTTATTTATTATCTACAGAGAAGGGGTGGATAGAGGAACGTCATTAAAACCCAACACGGGGACTGAGACTGTAACAATGAAATGTAACAATAGAAAGGACTGTTCCTCCCATTCGCACATTTTTATGTTAATGGAAATCGAAAATAGGAAACCCTGTCTGGGGGATTGGGGGGTGGATCCTGTCGTTGTACTTTTACGGCATAGGCATTAGTGGGCGAAACAGAATGTGAAGGGCTCCCGAGGGGAGTGGGGTGGGTGGGAAACAACAAAATAAGAACTGGGGGAGAAAAAAAAACGTTTTGGTGAAGGAAGGTCCAGTAACTTAGTTTGCCTATCCCATATGTACGTATTTAGGCAAGTCATGGTGTATCTATTACTGCAGGGATCTATTTATTTATGTCCTCTCATGCCCCAACCCCCTCCCCCACCACACACACACTTTTTCTATTGATTATTCTTCACCCATGCCTCGGGATGGGGTTAACAACAAGCTTTAAACAATCGATATTGACGAAATGTTGGAATAATTTATATTTACTTTTTATATTTAAAAAGGGGCTTCATGTGTATATGAATAATATGATACATATACACAGCGGAGCAAGAGGTTGAAAAGAATTGATTTATTACTTGAAACTAGATCGTCATGGATCAATGAACAATGTACACATTCAATCTCTTCTTTGCCCTACTAATGTCCCAACCTGCTTCCATGGGTTATTTCGTTGCTTACACCTCGTGTTCACTATTTGTAATTAGCCTGTGCCGTGTGCGAGGTAGTAAATAACGGCACTGCTCATTGGATTTCTCATTAAGCTATTTCCTTACTCAATACTGATACATATTACAAATGAACAGGGTGTGTAGCTGAGTTTGTGGTCGCCAATACTACTGCATGAACTAGATCAGTGGTCGGCAAACTCATTAGTCAAAAGAGACAAAAATCAGCAACAGGTCGATTAAAACATTTTTGAGAGCCAAACTATCTTTTTAAAAACCTGTCAAGAACCATGTTTTTTTGGAGTCAAAGCCGATTTGTGGCCGAGCCGCACTTAAGCCCCTTAAGAGACGCATGCGACTCTCGAGCCGCAATTTGCTAACCATTGGACTAGATGGAGTTAAATGGAAACAATGTTTAAATTCATTGCTTAGATTACTGTCGCCCTGTTGAAAAATAGAGCTTTGTTTTCTATTCGCTACTTAAAGTTGTAATGAAGAAGACGTTCAAATAAGACTAGGGGCGAATCTTTCAGTATATGCCTTGATGGTAGTCCATTTATTTTAGATTAGAGCCTTGCTTTATTATCTAATCCAATTTTTGTTAAAAGTAGGAAATACTTGTATCATACAAAGGTTAATTTCTCGTTCCAACAAAATAATTAAAATAGTCTGTGTTCAGCGGCTAGACTAGAAGCTATGTTCTCCAATGCGCACACATCAGTTGTGCTCGTGCGGCAATCACTTAGAGGTTAATAAGGAAAAATTAAGTGGCGCTGAATTGCCTCCTGTTTTACAGTAATTCTGACGGTAGTGGGTCATGGCGAGTTAGACGTTAACAACAGCGGGAAGTTGTCATCGTAGTTTTATAGTTTTGTTTGGTACAGCCAAGGCGTAAACCCCGTGACCGCTACCGTAATTGGTATCGTGGTACTGACTTAGGGGACGGGAGGGTCTGTGGCGTTACCGTCACGCCCATATTTCTTAGTAGAACCTCTCGTGTGGGCGGAGAAAGTTATGAGTTTTCACGCTTTATTTCCGGGTTGTAAAGGCAAAGTGTGACAAACATGCTAATGACTGGCTGCTTGCACAAGAAATATGGCGGTCGCTCTAACCAAAAATATTCCGATGAATATAAGCTTGTGTTGATTACAGGTCAAACATGTTAAAACTGTGAAAAAGCTTGAAATTGATATAAAGTACCTATCGAACAGCTTTTAACGGTTTTAAGCCCAGCCTCGTTATAGATTATCGATGATATAATACTTCACTTTGAAGCATAGCGCTATGAGCAGCTCCAAGGTTAATTATTTCGACTTTCTTCATAGCAGTAGCTTGTCAAGAGTTACACTTCAAGCAAAAATCAATAATTACACTTGTCATACTATATGCACCAGGGTCCACACCAAGTGGTTTGGTGATTAGTAAGGCAGACAGCCGTTGGGTTCGGAAATATCTTATTATTGGCGAACGCCTGACCTGCACACCTGTTATTGTTTTAAGCTGGTCAAGTTCAATTTTAGAGGGAGGCAACTCTTTGGTGAAGCTTGCGATATCTGTTGAAAAATTGGCAGCACGAAGTTAACAGCGAAGTCGTTTGATTAAAATAAAATGTAAAAATGATGTGTTGATGTCGTTTTTGTTTGTTATGCCAAGTGATTTAAATAGTTTCGAATGTTGCTTGTAAAATATATGCGTTTAGCCGTGCGTTGTATTAAAATTAACATCCATTAAAATTAGTATTCATTATTATTATTATTATTATTATTGCTATTGATGAGAGGATTACATTTTAAATTAATCAGTATGACACTGAAAGGAAATTAAAAAAAAAAGAAGATTAAGTACATAGAAAAAACTTTTACAATGTAATAAGTTAATGACATTCTAACACGTCATGATTTCGAGGCGGTCAATGCGACATGTCATTCTCAGGATGTGAGATCATAAACAACGTCATTACCCCGAGGGGGCACGGAAGGTAAAGTCATCGGCGTGCTCCTCAAAAGTATTGGACTGATCTTTTCAGTGCTAAATATCGACATCCACATTTTTCATTAGTAATAAAATAAAGACGCTTCCGTCCATTACTTGGTGGGAGAACAACATCTCCATCTGGTCAGCGACAGGTTTTGATAGGTTGGGGAGGCGGTGCGGCGAAAAATTCACAGAATGCCGAGGGACACGCAACAACGGTCATGCAGCGACACAATGGTGAAGAATGAACAGCAACATGTTGTTAAACATGTCAACAGTGGTTGCACTCGACCCCATTAGAAGACACGGGGTAAGTAAACCCCCCAGGCAATATTTAGGGTGAACTTAAATGCATATTGTAGGCCTACAACTGACTGAATGACCCGCTCCTGATACAGGCTCATTAACTTCGTTACTGCCAATTGGACCCACCAGCATTCGCTATTGACAATACTGGATGCTTTAAGTGTCCAGTATTTGACGTTGTTCAGACCTGTAAACTGAAAATTTCAGTCTTGATGCCACGCCTTTTTATATCTCTCACCCGTTCAAGCCCAAAGCCTGCAGGGCTAGGCTACTGTTTAAAACATTGAACCTACCTGTGCGTGACCTATATTCGGGCTGAGCTGATAGAAAAAAAACAACACACACACACAGGTGTACGTGTCTGTTAGGATGAAATGCTGCAATGCAACACACCGCCGCACGCGCTTAGAGTCACATGACATTGCTACACATTTACATACTCACACATAACCAGGCCTTTCATTATTTACAGCCTTTCGGGTACTCCCTCTGAGGCAGGGATTCTTTACCTGCCAGCTATGTGGCTACACCAAAAAAGCGGTGGGTGGGGAAACGGGGAAAAAGGGGGGGGGTAGCGTTGATTCCTGCTCAAAAATAATATCCATAATAATCCTTGCCACTTGTTGAAGAAGATATTAGCTTTGTTATGTGGGTCTTTGGTCTTTAGGGTTTAGACCTGTCAAAGTTGTGTTCATGTTTTGAATCTGATCTTAGCAATCCACCTGTACTTTAGTCAGTTATGGGTACAATATAAAAAGAAAACCACTAACTGTGACTAATGGTGTTGGCTTAATGATGTGATCTTGATTAGGCCCCCCTTAAGTGGGCTTAAAGAGCTTCTAGGCGGAAACAGTTGTTTTTTTTATGTTGTAGGAATTTCTTTTAAGACGCTTCCTACTTTACCTCCAAGAGGTTCACTCCATAATGTTTCAAGATTTCATATACATCCATGTCTACAGCCCTCTTCTAAATTTACTCAAGTTTCTTTTAAGAGGGTGCTCAGATACATTTTACCCACCTTTTCAAATGTATGCGTTGTTATCTGGCGTTCTCACCTTCTGACAAATAATTAACAGAATATTTTGGCACTAGTAAGAATGCTGAATCAGCATACCCCTCCACACACACACACACACACACACACTCACACACACTCTATCTCTCGTGTGCTCTCTCTCCCCCTCCCCCTCCCCAAACCTAGAATGTAAAACTAGTTTTATGGTATCCATTTGTGAAAGGTTTCAAAATGGCATCTAATTGTGGTCTAAAAGTAATCACAACTTAATCACTGGAAAGCTAGAGTAAAAGTGTTTTTTTTTTACATACAAATTCAACACTTTTACCCATGTGTTTAACATACAATTTCAACATACCCACATGTTTAACATACAATTTCAGGTAGAGATTTCTGATAGATATATACTTGAGTCAAACTTGAAGTTAAGCTATGAGATAACACCACAGAGTATTAGCTCATTCTTCTGTAACACAACAAAATTTATTATTTTCCTATCACCCAGAAACCTTGTAGCTTCGAGTTATCAAAGTTATTCTTTTCCGTTCTGGTGTCCTTATTTCCAACAGTAAAAGATTATCAAAAGGGTTAATTCAGCCCATAAACTGGCATAGAAGAATATTGTCCTAAGAATCTAATATGGTACTAACAACTTTTATTCAGTCACATTTTTATGTTTTGTAATTTGAACATGAAGGCCCTACAATTTTAGCTTTAACTTGTATGTGTTATTCAACTAACTTTGGTGAACTTCACAGTCATAAGTGCTCTTGATACATAACATTTTTTATCTTTTCTTACTCTCTATGTTTATCATTGTCTGTATACAAATATTTCTATTCCTATTTCTTAAGTAATTAAGCTTTTCATTAAGAAATCATAAAGATGTCAGTGATATCAAGTACAAATTTTTATTCTAAATTTTTTAGTTCTTATTTTTTAAAATGGTTTTTATTTTACAAAAAAAACAAACAAAAAAACAAAACCCACAAACCTCAATAATCAAAAAATTATTCTTTTTTGTAATTGGATATATTCTTCTATTCCTTTAATAGCTGATTAGGCCAGAGGAGATGACCAACCCCAAGGTTGATGACCTCAGTATGATGACTTATCTGTCCCAGTTCCCTAATGCCAAACTTAAGCCCGGAGCCCCTGTCAGACCTCGTCTGAACCCAGCACGTGTCCGTGCTTATGGCCCTGGTATTGAGCCCACCGGCAACCAGGTTGGGGCCCCAGCTCGCTTCACTGTGGAGACCTTCAGTGCTGGCAAGGGATCAGTGGAGATCATTGTGCTCAACCCCAAAGGCGCTAAAGAGAATGTATGTTAAAACATTTTTTAAAAATCTTAAAACTCATTTCTTCAAATTAATAAATGAAATAAAAAATTCCAAAAAATAATGGTAATTGTTAATTAATATTTTTTTTTTAGAAATGATTGCAAAGACTAGATACCATAACTTACAATAGAAATTTAAAATGAACATTATGTTAAATTTGCAATGTATAGGGTAAGATTAAAAATTATTTAAAGCTTAGTAGTGAATTACACTATATCAGTAAGTAAAAATAGTTACATGGCAGATATTTATCATGAGGAGTACATTTTAAATTTATTTTATTTCTTTCAGGTTGAAGTAGTGTTCAACAATGATAAGAACATGACATACTCCTGTGCCTATGTGCCTACAATGGAAGGCGCATACAGGGTAAGTATTAACATTACCATTCTCATTATTTACACTATACTTTCCTTTTTTTCATTGTCATATCATTTTTCAATGTTTAAAGTGTATTCAAAAGATTCAAAGATTTGTATCAGTTTTTCATGTCTGACATGTTTTGTTCTACATTGCTCAGATCATTTCTGTTTGATTCACGTGGAATGCCTCCTCCTGTACCCTGTTACGCAACATTTCATTTATATGTTCAGGTGATCATCAAGTTCAGTAACAAGGAGATCCCCAAGTCACCCTACACTGTCCAAGTGGAGGGAGCTGCCGGTGACCCAAGCAAGGTCACTGCTGCTGGACCTGGTATTGAGAAAACTGGAAATATTGCTGGCAAAAAGACCTACTTTGAAGTCTACACACAATGTAGGTGTTATGATTTAAAAGTAATCTGTTGGTAAATATAAGCTAAATATTTGATTTCTTGTCTCTGACGAGTGGCTCTGAATCATGAGTAAAGCTTGGAAGCTGGTGTTCTTACTAAAGTCTTTATATAAAAAAAAAATTAAATAAAAATTGTTAAAAGTAAATGAAAACTTTTTTCTTAAAAAGGGTATTTTAGTATTTTCTTACCCAACCAACTTGCTGTTGTTCATAAATATTTATTAAACATCAAAGGCAAACAGTTGTGAATTAAATATTCAGCTGTTTTATTTTTTTTTGTGTTATTTAATCTTGCATTGTTACGCATTTCTACCATGATTATTTGATATTAATAATTTGTAGTGTAATTTTATACAAGGACATTTTTTTCCCTAACGTACACTTCTGCAAAGGTTACATAATATTGATGTAACTAAAACAAAATATTTCAAAGATACTTTAAAAGTTGATTTTTTTTTTTTCTTGTATTTTTTCCCTCCTTTTTAAAAATTTTATTTCATTTTAAATTAAAAGCTTAAACCACGCCATATCTTAGGTACAGTTGCTGCTTAATTCATAACTTATGTGATGCTATCCACAGCATGAGCGATTTCTAGTAATGTATTTTAAGTATAAGACAATTTAAACCTAATATTTTTGTAACATAAAAAATAATGTTTTTTAAATAAATATTGATTATAAGACCACTCAAACTCTCTTTTCATTTAGCTGCTGGCAAAGGAACAATTGATGTTGCCATTCTGGATCCTCATGGTCACAAAGATAAAGTGCGTCCAGCCATCAGCCCTGTTGTGGGCAAAGAAGGCACCTACTTGGTTGAGTACACTGCCATGGAGCCTGGCCTCCACTCTGTCAATGTATTCTTTTCAGGACAACAGATAACCGGAAGTCCATTTGGCGTCAATGTTGCCCCAGGTAGGTTATTAAACAAGTCTTTTAATAGTTCAAATCAGAGATCATATATGTGATTAGGAGTGCTATTCTGAAGGAGCATTTTTGCAACACTACCAAGAAACATCCTGATTTCTCAGTAACATCTTTAAATGGTGGGATTTTTTTTTTTAAATTTGACACATAATTGATATTTTTTAGAGATAATACGACAAATTTAAAGCCTTCAAATAAGTTTAAAAGCACCAAAAGAAAAATATTATACATCATTAACACAACTTTTTTTGCAATAATCAAAAAAATAGAAGAGCCATAACTTGTCCTGAGGACAAGTATATTTATTATAACTATGTTACCGATGTCTCTGTTGGACTTAAGTTTGAGAAATGCTACTTCAGAATTTAGTTTAGTTACTACTTCACTGGTTTTATATAGAAAAGCACCTATGTTAAATTTTGATCAAATGAGCAAAAGGGTCTTCATTCTAAATTTTATCTATTTCTGGATAAGCCATCCATGTTTGCAATGGATAAATGATTATATTTTATTATAGCACAAAAATTCAGTGTAACTCAATGAATGTAAGTATCGCTAGACCTTTTTAAAGTGAAGATTATTTTAAAACATGAAAGCAATTAAATCTATGAATAATGGCAGTAAAAAAATAAAAAAAAATTGAATAACTGCATGAAGCATTCAGTAAATATAGGTATGTCTCTACACTTCGGGTGCAAGGCATTTGATACATAGGGCCTTTCTGCTTGTAAAAAAAATCATTTAGTTTGCACTTTTTTGTTTTGTATTAGTTAATTAAAGTCCTATATAATTAGAAAACTGATTATATAAATAGGTAAAATACATTTTTATAATTACCAACACTTTCCACTGTAGAAATAATAAACATGCACCAATGCAAAAAAGATCAAGATGTGTACAAAGGGGGATAAATAAATAAATAAAATATATATAAACAGCTTAATCCCATTTTTGGCCTTTCTATACAATTAAAAAATTCAATACCAAATAATAAATAATACCTTTAGTTTTATGTTATATTCACATGTTTCAATTTTTCAACAATACATAAATGAATACATAGAAGAGGTTCAGCACCAATAAACGTAATAACATTTTATAACGATAAGTGGGGAGAGATTGCAATCGGGTCTATGTAGAAGGAAATATTTTGTAACAAGGAATGGGAAAATCTGAAAAAAGGAAGCAGCAAAAGAACGAACAAAGACTAATACAACTATAAAAATGAAAATAAGAGGAAAGAACTGTATTAAAATTTTGATACATTTCAGCTGGAGTTTAATTTTAATATTTGCGTTAGTCTTTGTGTGTTCATTGAAGAAGTCTTTTTTTCAACATTTTTGTTGTGTCCTTTTTTTCACTTTTTTTCCATACCTTGTTTCTCAAATTTCCTTAAATTTTATTAGTTGTATTTTCCAAATCATTAACATGCAAGTTTTTTCTAAGCTGAATGAATTTGATTGAATATTTTTTGTTTGTTTGTAACTTCATCCTTGTAATTGGTATTTGTAGATACCATACTGTGTTCACATACATTTTGGATCACCAGTTTTACTATGCACTGCTGCACTAAATATTATTTAGTAAGCTACAGTGCTGGCTCATGCATGTAAATTATCATAACTTTCAAAGCAGAGATTGCCTTTTGACATATATATATCCATTTGAAAAAAATTTTTTTACTGAGCAGCAGGACCCCTCAAAAAAAACTTTGAATAATTGTATCTGAGATTATCATTTTTATTTAAATCTTTCAAAATGAAGTTTTCATTTGTGCATGTTTAGACTTTTATTTATTTTTAATTTCTTAAACCTACTATATCATTGCTCGTGAATAGATGATTTCATCATTTATTTTATTTTTACCACCTTTTTATGTTCACCAGCCAAGAGTAAGTAGAGTTTGTAGACTTAACTCAAGTGCACTTTGACTGACCAGTCCTTCAGCCATTTTAATTGCTTGGATGATGAATAACATTTCATAACTTGTTTCTTAATCTGACATTTAGAATGATGCAATGAGCATGTTTAAAATTCAATGCATTTATTATTTTAAAATTAAATTTCAGTTTGATTTAAATCAATGAGATCTTTCTTGATGCATGTGTTCATTTATGATGTCATACAATCCTGACATAGACCATTTCATCTCATGTTTTGTATATTCAGAGTAGAATAGTTACCTTAAAGTCCTCTCTGTCTCTACTTGTGTTCCTTCTTTCCAAAGGCTACAACAGACACAAGGTCTACATATTATTTTTACATTTTTTGGTTTAATTTTGTTAAACAAATTGTTTAATTTTTAAAATTTTTAAATTTTGTTTCAGATATCGGTATGTTGCAATATTTTCAGTTTGCCATGAACACATAATTCATTTCTTATGATAAGCACATAAGCACATTATTTTTTACTTCTTTTCTGTCATCAAAATATTTTCTTTGAAAGCTTTTCTTTACAAAATATATTTTAAAATAAAATGTATACATCAAAAAAAAAAAAAAGCACCAATATAAGTTGAATGTATTATCTATATTTTACCATAAGCATAATCAAACACTATTCTTGTTTTCCAATGTTTAATAGATTATTGTCCTTGTTTTCCAAGGCCTAATTTCACTTTTTATTCCTCATTTTCCATGTCATCTTGCTTTCCCCCACATTAAAAAGAGTGCATGGAAATAGATTGCTGTATTTTGAGAGGAATGCTATATTTTCCCCAGTTTTTACAACGGAAATAAAATTCTCATGCATTCTGATGCAATAAACATCCAACCCTATTTCAACAATTCAATAACCAAAGTATAAAAAGTATTGTCAATTTCATAATTGTGATTACTCCCACCTCCAACTTTCTTTTCACGTGATGAATGGTATGACCTTCTTTCCATAGAAGTTCTTCCTTCTAAAAATTGAAGTTTTTTTATAACCACTGGCTAACATATTTTGCCTTCTTTTTAACACTTAACCTCTTTATTATGTGTTAAAATTATTAAACATTTATACAATTAAATGACATATAAAAAATATGTTACAGGTTCATATGTTTGATTCATATTTCTAGGTATATTTTTATCTGAAGAGCATTAAAACTTTAAAAACATTGTTTACAATTCACGTTCAAATAAAATTTTATCGTTTAATTTTTGATGTTAAGATTTTTTAAATTAAAAATTATCTCATTCATTTATGTAACATAAAAAAATCAGCCCCAATTAGATTACATTGAACAAATTTATTTGTAAATAACAAGTGATATGACTGTGATATTTGACTTTCGAGTTAATGGCTCTTGTATATATTCCCTCCCTTCAATGATCTCATTTAATGATCAACTAACATATAGCCCCTTTTAAAAAATATATTGAATAGAATGAAGGGAAAAAAAAATCTTCTGAACAATTAAATAAAAAAGTAAATATATTTCTCCAAATGAAAAGAATAAAACAACCTGTTCTGCAATATATATCTTATTTTCTGGTGTCTAAGAACAGAATCACATAGTGTGCCCATGCGCATATTTGTAGGTTTATAGGAATGATTTCTCTATCCATCAGTATTAATATATAACTATATTGTTCAACAAGCCATCAGACATGATCATAGCATGTTTGGGTGTGAATAGTAGCTTAGTGATTATATTAAACTATATATCATATTCATTTTGCTTTAGATATCATATTTAAATTTAACACACTATTTGATTTCGCTCTTTTACTTTGTTTACTTAATATGAATAATCTCACAATTTCTATCATTAATTGGAAGCCCAAGTTTAATAGCTGTTTTATATTCTCTCCTCAGCATCCAATGCCAAAGCCTGCTATGCTACAGGCCGTGGTATCCAGCCAAGAGGCATCAGGGTCAAGGATCAAGCTGTGTTCTATGTCCATACCAAAGGTGCTGGTGATGGAGAGGTAGCCGTGCAAATTTTTGGACCAGGTAAGTTAGAAATGTTTGATCCTGGTTTAAAGATATTTGTGGTTGGAAATTAATTTGAAGAATATTTATTACTTTAGTTTAATTAAATGAACCCACCTATTATTATTATTAGTTTTATATATCAAAATGATTTTTAACTTTTAAATACACTTCATTTTGTCTTTATTTTAAAAAAAAGTGTTGTTCATTTGGATTTCAGTAACCATATTCAGCTTTATGTGATAATTAAAAATATATATCTCTCAAGTAACATGAGTTTATGTTCTAAATGCTTGAAACACATAATAGAGTTAAAATGTAAGAAATGAATGCATCTGTTTGCCATTAATCTTTTACCGCTTCAGTATCTGAGAAAATTGTAAATGCTTGAGAAATGGCTGATCAAAGCATTTACAAATATATCAAACATCTTAGCTCTGGGATTTAAAAAAAGTATGGTTTACTTTGCAGGAGGTGTTGAGGAGAAATGCCAGATTAAGAAAGTACCTGGAGATGAAGGCGTGTATGAATGTGTGTACTTGCCATCCAAGCCTGGCAACTACATCATCAATGTCACGTTTGGTGACCAACATATTAGCAAGTCCCCCTTTAAGGTCAGCCTTAAACAAATTCTTTCAGATTTTGATTGTTGTTAGCAAGCATAAATTAATTTCTTCAGGCATCTTGATCTTTTGTACTGGTATTAGATAGCTAAAAACGTTAAATGGGAAAGTGATGTACAATCTAACACTGCATGGTTACAAATTATGCAGCTATGAAGAGCTTAAAAGATTTACGACATTCTCAAAAGCTGTTTTTTTTTTTTTAATGATTTTTTATTGTATTAGTCATTTTTTTTTATTATTTATAGTCTTGGGTTGGGGGATAAAGTCATGAATTATAGCCACATGAATAATTTCATGAAAAGGTTTGCTGCTTTGCAAACAGTAAATTGGAGATTAAAACAGCAAAGAAAGGTTCTTGCTAACTGGTTTTCACCATTATGACAGGTTGAAGTAGGACCCTTCTGGAACACCAAGATCAGAGCCTATGGACCAGGTCTTGAAGGAGGAGTTGTCAACCAGCCAGCAGTCTTCACTGTGGAAACTAATGGAGAAGCTGGTGCTCTTGGTATGTAGAAGTGAAAACATTTTTTAGGACTATACATTTATGAAAAAAATTTATCTGATAAATAAAAAAAATAAAAAAATAAGAGTTTAGATTTAGTTGGGGTAGGAGGTGAGCCAATACATTATATTTTTATGGAAAGACTGGAAGCATTAACACATTGTTTAATTATTCAGTTGGAGTTTATTTTTAAAAATTGTTTTATGCCTTATTTTACATAGATTAAATGTAGCATTTCTTTAAGCTATTTCCTAGTTCTGAATTTCAAAGCAGTGATAATAACATTTATCATTCAACTAATTTACTTCCAACATACAGGATTCTCCATTGAAGGCCCATCCCAGGCCAAGATTGACTGCAAGGACAATGGTGATGGTTCAGCTGATGTGACCTACTGGCCAACCCAGGCGGGAGAGTATGCTGTCCACATTTTGTGTAACGACCAGGACATCCCCAACTCTCCCTACATGGCCAACATTATCCCAGCCCAGGCATTCAATGCTGGCAAGGTTGGTTACTAATTAAACACAACTAATAGCACTAATAGCACTTATGCTGTCATTGATGTTAACAAAAATCTGTTTTCAACTGTCATTTTTTTTCTTTTTCAAAAAGCTGTTTAATTTATTATATCAATATTTTCTCAAAATTTAGTTCAGCTTTCAGTGATTCTTCTGTTGAATAAAACTAGTTTATTCTGAGAATGCTAAATATGATGGTTTAATACAACCATTAAATGATTTGTATTTTTATGACTTATAATATTGAACATTTTTTTTCCAAAATAAAAGTTTAGTCTTAATATGCTATTTCTTTAATTGAAATTCTAATGAAATCAATTAATTAACAAATAATAATCCATTTTCATAAAGCTTATCTTAAAAGTTGAATTTAATGGTTTGATTTTGAAAGAGTTGCTTTTAAATCTGTTCATTGTTTATTTCCAGGTCATTGCCAAGGGCCCAGGTCTCGAGAAGACAGGTGTCCAAGCCAATAAATTGGCAGAGTTCACTGTTGATACTCGTGCTGCAGGAAAAGCCCCCCTTCTCATCAGCTGCATGGATGTTGACTACAAACCTGTTGAAGTGCAGGTATGAGCTAAAAATGGAATTCTCATAGTTCATAATAAAATATACCTTGAAGGTTCTGAGGATACCCAGTGAGCAAAGGATGAGCTGGTATAGAAATTAGACCCTCAGTATCTCATATAAAAGTGTCAGTTATTAAATTTAATAATTAGTTGAAAATTATGGGATCCTTCTTTTCCTCTTAGTATCATATTTTATGATTTTTTTTTTTTACCTGCTTAGACACTTTTACCAATAACGAAAAACATTACAAATTTGATGTTCTATTTCTCAGGTTAAAGACAATGGCAATGGCACGTACACCTGCCGCTACCAGCCAACCAGAAATGTCAAGCACACAGTTACCATTACATTTGGTGGAGTCATGATCCCCAATGCACCTTTCAGGGTAAGAATTTAATTTCCTCTTGCCAAATCTCTTTACTTTATATATTACTAGCGAGCACCCGGAATGCTTTGCAATGCCACTCAAAGAAATAATGTGTTTGTGTTTTAATTTTGTTTTGAAGTCCTTTTTATATATCCAATATTTTTTTTTGTTTTTACCGTCTGGTGCGTACTCGAATAAATTAGAAGGTTTTTTGAAGCGTGAGCAGGCCACACACAGCTGTCCATGTGAGAATCATGGATTTTCAAAATTTAGTCCACACACTTGTAGCGATTGATCCAACCATGCAGTAGTATAGTTTTATATTATATTTATATAGTTTATTTAGTACATATAAACAAATTTAGGGCCCCGGCCCCAAACGGAATATTGTAAAATGGTTGTACTTATTCAGAAACCTTTTGCGGGCGTGCACACAACTCACCAAAGTTTATCGCATCCAGATGAATGGTATAGAAAAGCATACGGAAATCATATTTAAATAGCTCACATCATAAAAAAACTAATTTAAGGCGCCCGGTCCAAAACTGACTAATGCAAAATGGTTGTACAAATTCAGAAACCTACTAAATTATGTCATACACAAACGGAAATATCACTGTTTGTATTTGATTAAATTCATGCATTAGCTCTGTTCAAAATTATTATTTTTTATAGCTCATATAATAAAAAAAAAATTTAGGGCCCCCGACCCCAAACAGAGTATTGTAAAATGGTTAAACTAATTCAGAAACCGACTTATTATGTCACAAACAAATTGAAAGGTCGCTATTTGTATTTGATTAAAAATTCCATCCACCAATGCATTAGCTCTTTTTGAAATTATATTTATATAGCTCATACAAGAAAAAACTAATGTTTTAAATTGGTTGTACTAATGTAGAAACCTTTGCAGGCGGGCTCATATCAATTCACCAAAGTTTTTATCGCCAGTGGATGAATGGTATAGGAATGCATACGAAAATTATTTTCACATAGCTCGTATTTTAAAAAAAATGAATTTAGGGCCAACGGCCCAAAACAAAATATTTTAAAAGGATTGTAATGACACAGAAAAATGTGCAGGCTTGTGGGCAACAACTCACCAAAGATTTATCGCAATCCCATGAATGGTATAGGAGTGCATACGGCTTGAAATTATAATTTTATAGCTCATATTAGATAAAAACGAACATAGGGCTCTTGGCTCAAAACCGAATATTTTTAAATGGTTGTAATAATTCAAAAACCTTTGTGGCTGTGCGCTCAACATCTCACCAAAGCTTTATTGTATTCAAATAAATGGTTTAGAAGCACATATGGAAATTATTTTTTTTTACAAAGTTCATATAAGAAAAAAAAACGAAATCAGGGCCAACAACCCAAAATGGAATATTTTAAAAAAGGGTTGTAATGACTCAGAAAAATGCGCGGGCTTGTGGACAACATCTCACCAAAGTTTTATCGCAATCGTATGAATAGTGTAGGAGTGCATACTCACATCCAGACATTTATTTATATATATATATATAGATTATTAGTAAAAAAAATTTTTTTAATGAACTTTTAACATTTTAAATGTATTTTTTTAAAATATAAATCATTAGTAAGTGTAAATTAGTGAGATTATAATAAACTTAGAAAAACTAATCTATATTTGTTTTGAATTTTTTTTTAGGTCTATGTGTCTGAACCAAGCAACCCAGCCAAAGTTAAAGTTCATGGACCAGGAGTTGAGAAAGGTGTTAAGACCTTCAGTCCAACTTACTTTATTGTGGACTGCAAAGAAGCTGGACCAGGTAAAACATGTTAACATGAAATACAGCAATGTAGATTACTAAATTATGCCTGAAATTTGAAAGAATGCAGTCTGTTGTTTTAAAAGTATATAATTAACAAATTTTATATCAAGGTCATAATAACATATGATAATTAACTATCTTTCAGAATCTAGGTTATTTTCATGTTACTAAAATAAAATTGTTTATATAATACATTTGTTTGCTGCAGTTATCTAAGAGCAATAATTGTATTCAAACTACCACAAAGATCAGAAACTTACTTAGTGTGTTAAACTGATGTTTTTTTTTATTGTAAAAAAAAAAAATCCATAAATAATTAAGCACCTGATTTATGGAGACCTATATAATGGGGATAAATTGGAGATGCAATACTAAATCTCTACTATTTACAATAGGTGATGTTGCTGTTGGTCTTACTGATGAACGAGGCGTTGATGTGCCGGTCAAGACCATTGACAACCAAGATGGTACATTCACTGTGGAGTATGAGCCCAAGAGCCCTGGCACTTACACAGTCCTGGTGTACTTTGCCGGCAAAGAAGTGCCACAGAGCCCCATCAAGGTCAAAGTTGAGCCCAACATTGATGTCAGCAAAATCAAGGTTGTTGGTTTGGAGCCAAGTAAGTTTTTACTGAACTGAATGCATCAAAGCAGTTTTAAAATAATTTTATGTGTGTTGTCACAGTGAAAAATTGGTAATAAATTATTTCTGCCTTTTGTCATGAGAATTCCTCATATTTTTAGGTCCTTTTCAACCTTGAAATCTTCAGTGAACATTTTAGCCAGCAAAACTTCATTTTTGCTCTTAGTTATTGTGTCCTTGGATCACAATTTCTTACTACAATTTTTAACCCATTTCGGTCAGCACACTCAACATCTAAAATGTGACATATCATTTTAAAAATTGAAAAGGTCATTTAAATTTAAATCTTAACACTAACCCCATCAAATCTTTCAAATCTGTGAAGACAAGGAAGCCCATCAAATCTTTCATATCTGTGAACATTGAAGAGTCACTTCCCACTTTAACAAGCAGTTATCATGAGCATGCCTTCAATTTAAATGCCATGAAAATTTATAGTCATCTGTATTAAAGCAAGTCCAATTTTTTAGCCATGCCTATCGGTGTGCCAAAAGAAATTGGCATTATTTCAAGAGGATTGCCGAAGGCGGAGACAAAGGTAAAAATTGTTTCACCTACCAACCAAGTCCTTGAGGTGCCAACCACTGTCACAGGAGATGGAGCCAAGGCCACATTCGCCTTATTGGAGCCTGGCCCTCACCAAGTACAGGTCACTTATGGAGGAGCACCTGTCCCAGATTCACCTTTCCGTGTAGATGCTATTCAAGGTCCACCAAAAGTTAAAGCCTATGGTCCAGGGTTGACTGCTGGTCAAGCCGCACAACCTGCTGTTTTCACAATTGATACAAGAGAGGAGAAATCACCTGGTGGACTCGGCCTGTCGGTGGAGGGACCTGCAGAGTCACCTATTCAATGTAAAGACAACAAGGATGGAACCTGTGAAGTTACCTATGTCCCACCTGTGCCTGGATCCTACAATGTCAACATCTCATATGGGGATCGACCAATCCCAGGCTCCCCATTCAAGGCAAACATTGCACCAGCCAAGCCTACTTTGGATGTCAGTGGCATCAGAGCTTATGGACCTGGCCTTAACCCTGCGGGTAAACATACCAGGGCATGATGACAGATGTTAGCATCTTGAACACCCCCCCCCCAAAAAAAAAAATGACGACGTTGAAATGATTCATGTCTAACACATTCCTGCACTTATATAAAAATAAAATTTAACACACTTTTCACTAGCTTGTTAAAGTCTGCCTGTAATTATTGTCCAAAATAACTAATTAATATTTCTAATTCAAACCTAGCTCATAATAATAACCCCTGCTTTAAATGTACATTACAAATAGCAAACATTTTTTTTCCAAGATGTGTTAAGTTTTTATATGTTGCTGAATAAATTACAGATAAATTTACTGACCTAAAGTCTCCTGGGAATGCCATTATTTTTATATAATTTGACTATATTGCATGGCTTTAAGTCTTAGGTAACATTTACTTTATGTATGGTCCCAATGTTGTTGTCAACCTGTCCTTAGAGAAGTTATAATTAATTCCAAAAATTAAGCAATTCATAAAAAGAGTGGAAATTGCAAATCTAAAAATAAATCAAATTTTAGAAGAGTCCATATCAATTAATTGTAATATCTTATTTTTGCTCCCATTTTAGCCAACAGCATAGTTTTTATATACATTTTTGTGTCTTTTTGTGTGTGTTAAATTAAGCATGACATTGTATTATTTGTTTACATTGTTGTATTTTTGCCATCTGCATCTTTTCACAGCTTTTTTGTTCCACTATTGTATTCTTGTTTTCTGATACACATGTTTTAAAAAAAAAAAATTCAGAAATTGTATACACTTTCTGTTAGGCGATTAAAGTATTCTAGCTGAAAAGCTTTTTCAAGATACACATATTAATCGATTTATAAAAAAAGAAATGATTATGTTCAATATATTTTTAAAGTTATCCAAGACTACTCAATTACATTTTTATACGTTTGATAGATTTAAAGATAGTTTTCTCAATTAAATCCAATCTGTCTTACAACAGGAGTGTATCTGGACTGTCCCAATGAATTCACTGTAGATGCCAGATCTGTTTCCCCCACTGCCCAAGGCAAGGTCAGGGCTATCATTACTAGCCCAAGTGGCAAGAAGTATGAGACCTTGGTGAAGAACAATGGAGATGGAACATACAATGTCCTCTACACACCTGTCGAGCAAGGTAAAAATCATAGTTATATTAAAATTATTTTTTATTGTTGTTAATTGTTGTTGTTTTTTTTTTTAAAGTTAAATTTGGTAAAATCACAAATGATATTAAAAATACTATTTAACAAAAATAAAAAATAAATATTTACTGTAGTTGATGTCAAAAAAAAAAAAAAAAATAAAGTTCAGGCTTTATGGACTGAGGATATTTACATAATTACTTCAGTTGTAAAATTTGTATTCAATAACCAAAACAGTAAAAAAAAATATATTTCTTGGTTAACATTAACTTATTTTTCACTCATTCAGGACCACAAAAGATTGATGTGACATATGAAGATCTTCCAATCCCTGAAGCCCCATTGACAGTCACTGCTGTGCCTGGCTTTGATGCTAGCAAAGTTAAGGCTTATGGACCAGGTATAACTTTATAACAAAAAAAAGCATTGAAATACAAATGTTTTAGCTAGGATCAGAGCCAGGTCTAGATATCAGGAGAGCAAGCAGCTGTACATTTGTATAGCTGGATTTCTATTTAAACAAAATAAGGAAACGGTTTAAATGTCGGGATTGATTTTAATTATATATGTTAAGTTTAAAATATTTTATTTTATTTTTTTTCCAAAGGGAAGGAAATAACTTCTTTTTAGTAAGACAAAAAATTGCTATTATGGTGGCTAGATTTTGTGTCTGTTAATGACTTTGATTTTGAAAGAATTAGCCAGGCACTATTCCAGAATATAAATTATTTTTTTCAATTCCAGAATATAAATTATTTTTTTCAATTCCAGAATATAAATTATTTTTTTCAATCCGTTGTTGAAATCAAATTAAAAATGCTTGTTGGGAATAATCTCCAGGTCTTGAAGGGGGCCTCACTGAACAGCCCGCAGTGTTCACAGTTGACATGAAAGGAGCAGGCAAGGGTGGACTTGGTCTGGGTATTGAGGGACCAGTGGAGACCCCAATGCAGTGCCAGGATAATCATGATGGAACATGCCAGGTCGTCTACCAGCCCACCAAGGCTGGGCCTTATGAGATTTCTGTTAAGTTCAATGAGAAGCATGTCCCAGGTAGGTGAAAAGAATTGTTTAAAAAAAAAAAAAAATTTCATTGACATATTTTATTTTGAAAGTGAAGTGAATTTAAGAATCAAGTGGTTGCTTAAACCTTGTAAGGAAATTATAAAAAGAAATCTCATGACATCTTTCATTCATTGTAGGGTCTTATAGCAAACTTAAATAAACAGTTATTTTTTAACATTTTATTAGTTTCTTTCAATATCATAAGAATTTTCATTTTTTCCCTGGTTGTATATTATATTTTAATAAAATGCAATTTTTAAGTAGTAACTATGGTGATAGGTTGCAGAAATCAATGTTAATCTTCAATTTTGTTAGCAGTTGGTCAATAAAAGACCATTGACAACAGCTAGCGTCATCAGGCAGCCCATGATAACATGAAATTCCTATAATTAGTCTGAAAAGTATATATAGCCTTAATAACAATGATTTTCCATGACCTTCATCAGGCAGCCCATTCCGTGTGGACATCAAGAACCCAGTGAACCCAGCAAAGGTCAAAGTCTATGGTCCAGGTCTTGACAGCGCTTACGTCAAGGCAGGTGCCCCAGCCATTTTCACTGTTGATACAACAGAAGCAGGACAGGCACCTCTTGAGGTCACCTACACTGATAAGACAGGTGATAATTTATTTTACTATCAAACATTTAGTGAGGCCTCAAGAAGTCAAAAGAAAAATTAATACAGATTTTTTTTTTAAAATGTAAGCCGATTACATTTGCGAAAAGGTTATATATATTGGTGTCAAATTTGCATAATTTTGAATATATTTGGTAAATACTAACACAAAAGTGCAGAAAACGAATATATTACAAAAAATAAAACATATAACTCTCCTCTGTCATGTACAGTTGGAATATCATTATTTAACCTAGGTGGTTCTTTTGCTTTTTTCTTTTTTTTGTGAGGGTGTGGTGTGGTGGTGGTTTGGGGGGGGGGGGGGAGGGGGAAAATTCTTGATTTGAAATATTTTTTAAATTTTTTTTTTTTTTTTTTTTTTTTTTGGGGGGGGTGGGGTGGGGGGGGTTGGGGGGGGGGGGGGACGGGGAAAAATCCTGACTTGAAATAATTTTTAAAAGACAATGAATTTCAATGATCACAAAGGACACTTTTAAATTTATTTTTAAAAATTGTAATTTTGTTATTTTTTGAATTATACTTTTTAAAAACATATTTTCAACAGAATATACAAATTAGACCATGCCAGTTCATTGATTTTCATTACATTTAAACAAAAGAATTGAAGTGAACTTTTATAGACCTTTTTATTTTAATTGAATCTTAGCAATCTAAATCATTTGTTTCAGGTGTGAAGAGGCAAGCTGAAATTGTTCCAGTGGATGATGGTATATACCAGGTTACATATGTCCCAACTGCTGAGGGACCATGCCAAGTGGATGTCAAGTATGCTAACCAGCATGTACCTGAGAGCCCATTCCGTGTCAATGCCCAGCCTGGTGTTGATGCCAGCAAGGTCAAGGTTACAGGCCCAGGAGTCAGTGGCACTACACCTGCTAGTTTGCCTGCTGCCTTCCAAGTGGACACACGTGCTGCTGGCGATGCTAATCTTGAAGTGTTTGTTAAGGTGGGTCATATTTATCTTATTTTGTATCCATTTATCTTTTATTTTTTCTATAACATATGTTATAAAAACAATTTTAAAGATAAAATGGATTTTAAGGATAAAAACGGTTTTTGAGAAAATAACAGAATTTTCTGATTTTTGGGATTTAACCCAAGATATTTGTTTTATTACCTCAGCACTCATACCAATAAAGTTAGCTGGCTATAGTCAAGTGTAATTCATTTATCAAAAATCACAATAAACACACCATAATCAAACCATAGTATTATAATATCATGTCCTATTATTGTTCATGTGTGTAGAGCATAAAATAATGAGTACACTACAATCCAGATCTAGCATATAAAAACCTAATGTCTCTTCTGATAGCGCCCTGATGACACATTCATCCGACCCTTCATCCAAGACAACAAGGATGGAACTTTTGATGTAGTGTACACTCCTGAAGACTTGGGTGTATATGATGTCACAGTACAGTACGGAGGTCAGAACGTTCCCGGCTCACCTTTCAATGTCAAGGCTACACCCACCGGAGATGCCAGCAAGTGCAGGATTACAGGTAAATGAACAGACAGTTTTATGAGACTATTGAAAAAAATAATGTTGTCCAGTTAGTATTATGATTTTCATAGACATACAACAAGATCTTTTATTTGCATTAAATTTGGTATTGTGATTTACTATCCTTTGTTTTTAATTTTCAGACAACATTCTAATTTCCTTGTTATGACTACTGTAGAGTATTTTAAACACAAGATAACTTTCCCCATGATTTCCATGATCATTTATCAGCTTAAACTAAGAATCACTATAAGGCTTTTGCACTAAATTCACAAGAAAATTTATTTTTAAAATTATATTAATTATTTCTGAAGTTGAAAAAAAAAATCTTCCTCCTTCAGATGGTAACGACAAGACGGTCCCAGTTGGTAAGGAGACCATCATTACCGTCGATGCCTCTCAGGCTGGTGTCGGCAAAGTCACGTGCCGCATTCGATCCCCAACCGGCAGTGACATTGATATTGACATCATTGACCAGGGCGATGGCACCTTCTCGATCTCCTTCACCCCGCAGTTCCCAGGCCCCTACACCATTGAGATCAAGTTTGGTGGGGAGCTTGTGCCCAATGGAAGCTACACAGTTCAGGTATGTGTTTGACCTGTGGTCAGTGTGGCTAAAATCATCTCTGTCACATTTGTGGTTGTTGTGTGCAGTTCCCCCAGGATTGTTGTGATACTGTCATCTTTTTCTTGCTCCTTACCATGACATCATATCCTTTCTGGCAGAGACATGTCAGCTGTAGTAAATGTAGGAGCAAACCAATGAAAAATATATCAAAATAGTTATACCTCGCCAAACATTGGTAACAGTTATGCTTGAACTTCCCTTCTACTAAAGTTACCTGACAAAACATGAACTCAAGAACAGCACATTTAAGAATCCCAATTTTCGCTACACCCCTTCCCCCCATGATACATCACTGCTCACTTTTTATTTCATGGCCATGAACAATATTAATATTCTGATGTCTCACCCACTTTTAAACTGAATATTTATTACACCACACTTAAATTGCGACTATTTCATTTTCCGAAACGAAAAGAAAATATTACACACCAAACACAGTTACGTTATTTTTAAAAAATCATTTAGATAGTTATCAGGAATTATACTGTGCGTGTTATTGAACTCATTGCTGAACCATACTTTCTTTCAAACATATTATTTGTAATATAATCTCAATACCAAATACACTGAATAGGAATCAGCCAGCTTGGTAGGAAGCTGCTGGAAATGGAAGCAGTCTACCAGAAGCATAATATATATTTAAAGATTATGATTGAAACAAACATGCCAACATACATTTTTCTATGACAGCAGTTTTCAACTAGTTTCACTGGTGTATCCCAAGAATTTGATATAATGAAGAAAAATATCTGTTTTTTTTAGGTTTGACACAGGACAAATAATTTGCCAATATCAAATAATAAATTAACAATTTAATAAAAATATGACAGTTATCAGAATTTAAAAAATGTCCAAAACTATTACTGTTATGGCATTTTTCCATATGCAGCAGAAAATTGACATAAAGTAGATACTTAAAATAAATGTTTACCAAATAAAACTTCAACAGATATCCTAATAGCTAAACAAAACAAATAAGGTGACATGATTTCTTTACAAGAAGAGGATATGATGTATTGGTATGGGAAAATTTCACATCCTACTTGACCATTCTGCCACTGAAGTAACATTTCTACCTAAATACTCACATAACAATTCCTTCACTTTCCTTCTTCAATATGACATAATTCACTGACATCTGTCTCTCTATACTTAAATCAGTTTTTTTTGGTTAATATATTGGTAAGCATATGTGTTTATACAGTCTAACTCAGAGGTCCTCAATTTTTTTATTTAAATTAAAAAAAATTAAAAGTGCCCCAATTAGGGGACAAACTGACATGATTTCAGAAATCTCTATGTTACAAGGACATTCTCTATAAGAAATTTTGAGTTATTTCTCTATTATCCATGGTGTCTCCTTGAATGACTACAAGCTTGGGGACTCCTGGTTAAACCCCATTATTTCGAAAAGATCCACTAATTCAAACACTGATCCATAAAATTTGTTCTCTCTCTCTGGCACTGTCTATATCTGTTGGCACCATGCATGCACTGCAGTTAACTCTATTCACATTAATGGCTAACAATAAGAATATTACATCTTTACAAAAATTATTGATATACACAAAAATGTTCTTATGAAAAGCTAGTACATTAATGATAAAATTAAGCCCTAAATTTAGTTACAATACACTAACTGCTATAATACTAGACTGCAAAGTGAGGTGAAATTTTATATCTGCCCTTGAGTTGGGAGCAAAAGACTGGTAGCATTGGTGTCATTTTTTAAAACGTTTTTTCATACAAACTTAATTTTTTTTGGATCAAATGGTCTAAAAAAATTAACAAATAAATAAACAAACAAAATTTAATGTAAGTTAATTTTCAATATTGACACAATCTAAAATGAGCAGTCAAATAGCAGATGTATTATATATAAACTCTATTCCAACATCCACACATGTATGATGAACCCCTTTTAAAATAATGTATTGATGACAGAATCTGATGGCTTGATAGGCTCTATTAGGTCATACATACCATGCAGATTATCTCCATGTTGTTATAGTCACTTCTTACTTGAGCCTTGAGAAGGAATTCACCCAGTTTTTGAAGTCTGCTGGAGATGATGTGGAAAAGTGTGGTTGTAGAGTGAACAAATGGGTGTTGGCTGTATCTTGAGGAGGTTGTTCTTACCTGGCTTTAGTTTGGCTAGTTGGCTGGTTATCATTACATGTTCTTGGAGATCGGGGTTTGTTGCTTTTGGCATCTATAGGTTGACTTTGCGCGATATTTCAGTAATGTATGGTACATACTTGTGAGTGTTTTCATTTGTTAATGTTATAAATGGCCTAGCTGAGTTAGTGCCGCCCGGGGCTGGTCTAGATTTTTTACGCCTCCCCTATGAACAAAACTCTGAAGTTGGCAGAAAATGCCGCCCTTCTATATATAGAAATAAGTGCAGCCTTGGCCGGACGGCCCGCTTCGCCCACCCTTTCTATGTCAGTGGTTATAATATATGTCTGTTTCTGGTAATTATGTAATTCCTTAGTGCTGCTGAAACTGCTTAAAACAGATTTTAAAATCTTTTTTAAAAAAACAAGTATTTTGAACTCCTGGCTGCTTTTGCTGTATTTGCGTCACTGTTCTACTATATTCAATTTATAGAATCACTGAGTTTGGGTGCATAGAGGAGACGCCAACATTTAAAATTACACTGAGCATATCATAGGAAATATTTATTAACCAAACAACAACATTCTGCCTCTGCAAGCCACCTTCTGCCTATCGAAAAGCCTCTGTAATATCGTGTCACTAAATTCTTGGATCGGTAAAAATCTATTTTCAATAAATCCTCAAAATGTTATACCAATAGGCCTCTTGCTGGTTTATGAAATATTATTTGAGAATTCGTGCCTCAGCTTGTTAAAAAAAAATGTGTCTACGTCCCCACCTGCCCACCTGTAGAAACAAGTAACTCTCAGAGGCAAGCAGCAGGTGCTGATGGGTTGTGATTTCAGATTAGACAACCCATAAGACAGGACTTTTGCCAATTTTAGATTGGAGGGGTTGGCTACCCAGACATCACTTATTCTTATCTTACCTCACAAATATTTTATTGCCCCATAATGTCTGACAGCCCTGCATCCTAACCAGTGATGGGGTAGAAGAGTATTTGTACATTTTCCACAGCAATTTATTCAGTTACAAATTCGTTATGAGTGGCCAGTGTTCCAAGAAAATCGAGATCAAACAACGTCAGTTGTCGAAGATATTAAGACTTCCGTAGTATGAATGATCCGTGTAAACCTGTAAGAAGTCACTTTGAAAGAAGAGAGCCCACCTTTTAATGTATTGCATTTTCCAAACAAAAAAAAAAAGTTTCACTGCATCTTACAAAAGTTAAATCCGTTAACTGACATGAACAGCGTTTCCGGGGCGGGCACAGACACACACGCGTGTTTGTCATAGGATAATCTTACCATATTTGAAATTGACAATCGGGTTATTTTGCCTCTCCCCCCCCCCCCCTACCTTTTGTCCAAGGAAGTTGTTTTTGTTTTCTTAATACTTAATTAGGTATATATAGTTGGCGGTCCACCGCTTACTTCTTTTGTTATAAGTTCGAAACAAACCTGTTTGTTGCAAACCAAGAATCGGTGAAGATTTTCCGCGCAATGTGATAAAATATTCTGTGGAGATAATAATGTTATAGATTATTCTTCTACTGCAACCGTGAGCGGAACATGAAATTTTGAATTGATGGCATCTAGTGAAAGATACTAATCAGAAACAAAGATTATTATTCACCACAAATATTGAAGTAATGGCGCTAATTCATGATTTCATACCCGAAGCAGTTAGTAATTTTGTAAAAATCATATAAATGAGAGCTTTGCGAAGGAAGTAAAACGAAAATATACAAATCTAGCTGAAGTGCCAAGAATGTTCTCTAACGTCATAGCCGTTCCCTCTCCATTGCTAAACGAAACACGGGTTCTTTTAAAATATACGAACGTTGCTCAGAAGATAACCGCAATACATGTGTGATATAGCGGGTGCCCAGGTTGAGATAATCACAAGGAAGCCAAAACAAGCTCGTGGGGACAGCTCGTCATTTATTTCAAAAGTTCTCAAGGCAAACTCCGAAACGGAAATTGTAAAATAATCTATTTTTTAGAGTAAGCCGAGTTTGAAATGTACCGTAGTTTGTAATTTTCCTCGACCTAAAATACATTTTGGATAATCTCTATAGATTATCATTTACTCTATAGATTACCATTCGCTTGATTAGTCTATAAGAAAATGAAAAAAAAAATTAAAAAGAGTTAACTAATAAATCTTTTAACGTAAACATGGGGATGATATGGATTAATTATTCGCTATTTAAATTGTTATTCTATATCTGCGTTGAGACGATTTATTTTAACTTTACGAATGTTATTATTAATGAATAATTTATTGATGGTACGGGGCCAATATTTGATGTTCCTTGCTGTATTCGAAGTGGGTTATTCATAGATAAGAATAGATTGTCGAATAGAATATGAAATACCGCCAGCCCCGCCCTGTCGTTTTGGATGAACATGTGACGATATAGGACGACATGTAAGCATTAAAAGGCGTTTAATCTAGCGATGATTATCTAGATGACTTGAGCCACATTACTGTGTTTCCTTATTCTCTTTTGATGGCTTTTTTTATGGGGTCCACTAACCTTGGCCATGGTTGTCAGGGAAAGAGTTGCTTTGAACATGAGGCAGTAGCGATGGGGTTTATCATGGACCAGTCTAAGTGGCGGAGAGCTGGTGCCGGGCATACTCCTAGTTTGGTGCTGCTGTAAGTTATGACCTAGCGTTACTGATGTGACCCTTCAAAAGATTATTTCTAAGGTGTTTGCTAATGAGCTGGTCCTTTATGAATCTATAGAGATATGGTATTCGAACGACTGTCGCTTGGGATAATAATATCGCGAAATGTTACTACGAGTAAAAAATATCCCGGTAAAATACAGCCGGAAAAAAACAACAATTTTCCCGCTTTTCTGGACAAAATAAAAATAGACTAGCCTTCAATCTTGTTCAAAGATATAACCGTCATTAATATTGTATAATATTACATTGCCGTGGGACTTTAAATTAACATCTTGATCATGATTCACTTGTGTGAAATAATATCTTTCCAACAGGGCACCTAGCCGCCTCCATTAAATATTCAGTACCTCCGAAAGCTACACTATTTTATAAAATATTTGAGCTAGCATCTAGCTGCGGACACCTCAGTTATATCTTATCTCAGCTAGTATTAGTTGGTTTATCTACAACCCCAGCCCCACTCTACCCCCACCCCCAATTTTTCTACCTTCAACTTGCTTCCAGGATTGAGCCCTCTCTCTTAACTGGAAGGCTGCCTCCAGAATTACTTCATTTTCTGTGAAGATACGGTTACTGGCGATTGAGTCCGTGTGTGCTGTTTTTATATCTCCAATTGGTCATTCATTGCCTTTAAGGTCACCGGTTTGTGTTAATAAACAATTGTGTGACTGGGGAGGAATCACTATTATTAGAATAATCATTTTCTGCCAGTTGATTCTTACTTGCTATTTTCTCATTTCCTTGGATGCCGTATTTCGTTTGATATTTCGTCTGCAGAATGTTTTATTGTGTTATTTGAAAGAGAAATAAAAGCTAAACATTATGGCATGGTGTGGTACAATTAATAATAATAATAATAATAATAATAAGTGGTCTTATATAGCGCGGTACCCCGGCCTAGGGCTGGGCTCACCGCGCTGTACATATATAGCAAAATTAGCAAACGCTTTTAATTTTAAAATGCAATTGTTTTTAGAATTAGGTTCACGACTTGAAAAAAGAAAGAAGAAAATGGTACTAAAACACTTGCCACCGAAGATTTGTTAGGATGAAATTATTCCGACTAATTAATATCACGCTTTGAGTGAAACATTGTGTATCAAACTATTGTTTTTATGGAGTATGAAATTGACCGTTGTTTATCAAAATTAATATTGGTGTTGGTGTATTTAAACAATGAGTATTGTCAACAAGGGAAAAAAAAGAAAGCATGATGTGAAACAGAAAAATACCGAGATGCGTGCTGACGTGTAAAATTAAGCCGATTCTGTCGTTGGGATAGGGGAGTGTAATCTTAACTGGACTGTTTCTATCGGTTTGTCACTGAAGGATTTCAGGCTTATCTCCCTTGGAAATGTCTAAACTATTTTTTTTTTCCTCTCTTGACGTTGACATTTTAAATAGTTTATTGAGATTTAAAAATAACGCTCACCTGAAATCCCTTCTTTAAACATAGTTAATTGTTAAACAGCTTTACTTGGGTCCATCCAGAAAATTGTTGGTAGACCGCATAATGAATAAATCACAATGTCACACTTGGGCCTAGTCACACAATTATAAAAGATAACTCACATCAAAATCCGACAATATTTTTCATGACAATTTCTTTACTTGCAGTTACTCTTTTCTCTCAATATTAAACATTATATAACAAAATATATATATATAAAAATAACTCAACATTATGTCAACATCCTCATTTCACCCCTCACTTTATTGTAAAATCATTATGTATTTTGATAATTTTCTAATTCACTCTTGTTATAAAAATGTTTCCTAAATTTAAAAAAAAATATGTTTTGTGGGTAAATGAAATTCCTTTTTTTAATCACATCTTTTGGAAGGAAACCTGCATGATTGAGAAGATCTGTAACACAAAACGAAAGTTACTTAGTAAAAATCTAATGAGGAAAGTGACCACACTATTTCAATGTAAGCACTGTGACTGCCTTGGTGAAAACCCCTCTTCCTTTGTCCATTTCACTCTCACCTCTTGATCGCATGATTTGCATGTTTTGATGAGCTGTTCCCCTTTGTGTCTTTTATTAGGCAGTACTGGAGGAAGAATACGAAGCTTACCTGGCCACTAAGGTGAGTTTTCTTACCACTAAGTTTTTTAAACAGTCAGTTTTATTTACATAAATAGATACGGATTCCTTTTCATAAATAATTGTTTTATTTTTCTTTCTTTTTTTAAAAACATTTTTTGTTAACATTTTTGATTGCTCAAATCTATGAACAAATTGGAATCCGATCTAATTTTGTGTATAATACTTTTTTAAAATACTTATTGTACTGTATTTTTTTATTCTTCAAAATTATTTCACGTTTTAAATTCTGTTTAATTCAGTAGGCATCACCTTTTGGTTGGTTATCCATGCGCATTTTGTAAATTTTCAATGTGATCAAAGCAGCAATATAATAATAATATAGAATGAAGTGACCTTCATATATGAAAGTGATAAATATTATTTATTTTACTAATATCATTATGTAGCTATGGTTTAGTGCTTAGAGATATTATATCAATGCATGTTTCCAGTTTTGAAAACAATATTTTGCTTAGCTAATAATATTTATTAATTCATTTGATCTGAAATTGGATCTAATATGAACTGTCAAAAAATGAAAAAATGAAAATGTAATAAAGTTAAAGACTTTCCTGCATAATTTCTTTCATTAACCATGTCTAATCCATTTAATTTTAAGTTCTACTAAATGTAGCGTTGACTGAAAAATTATGTTATGCTTTCATTAGGTGGGTGAGGAGTTCCTTAGTGCTGACAGAGTTGATGCTGTTCATACAGTAGCTCCTGGCTCAGGCTTATTCCAACCTGTGGACTTCACAATACCTGTTGGCCCCATCTTCAATTTTGTCTCAGGTAAGAAAATTATTTAACACCTTTGCTGACATAGTTGTTAAGTTAGCAGTTCCCCTGGAAAGCCTTATGACTAATAATTTTAGGGATTATAAAGAACACATTTCATGTTGAACTATGTTTTAGCCATTTTGTTGAACTATGTTTTAGCCATTTTGTTGAACTATGTTTTAGCCATTTTGTTGAACTAACAAAATCGGTAAAACAACTTGATACAAAATCGGTAAAACAACTTCTATGTTTTAGCCATTTTGTTGAACTATGTTTTAGCCATTTTGTTGAACTATGTTTTAGCCATTTTGTTGAACTATGTTTTAAGCCATTTTGTTGAACTATGTTTTAGCCATTTTGTTGAACTATGTTTTAGCCATTTTGTTGAACTATGTTTTAGCCATTTTGTTGAACTATGTTTTAAGCCATTTTGTTGAACTATGTTTTAGCCATTTTGTTGAACTATGTTTTAGCCATTTTGTTGAACTATGTTTTAGCCATTTTGTTGAACTATGTTTTAGCCATTTTGTTGAACTATGTTTTAGCCATTTTTGTGGTATGTTTTTTAAAAAAATATTTCAATTTCAAACCTGACAACCCAGGGAGGGGTTATTGAAATTGTTTGGACCATCAGTAAAAATATGGCATTTGGCAAGACTATAATTATAAGATAATAATTATATCTTATATGGGTTGTTGTAATTTTAAAATTATTAATTTATTATTTCAATCAAATGATTGTAGGTGTAATGTTTAATATTGTTAACTGCATTGTCATTGCTTTATGTTTATTCCTATATCTGATATCCCCCAGCCACTGTGGTAATGCCGTCTGGAAAGCGTGCCTATCCCAACATTGAGGATAACAAGGATGGCACGGTGACTGTAAGATACCAGCCCACTGAGACAGGGCTTCACCAGTTGCACATGCAATACAACAATGAGGAGATTGAAGGTGACAACATTTTAGTTTACTTATAAACAAGCTGTTTTAAAGGATTTTTACTTACTACACATTTTTCTTTATGTTGTAACACTATGTTTGATAAAACACCCAGCTAATATAACATAATGTGTTTTCTATGATCTCCAGGAAGTCCATTCTTGTTCCATGTTGAAGCTATTGACTCTGGCTATGTGACAGCCTATGGCCCAGGTCTTAGCCATGGTGTGGTACATGAACAAGCTGTGTTCACAATCAACACCAAGAATGCTGGAGCTGGTGGGTATCCCCTCCTTAGACATAAACTATTTATTTAATTTTACCAACATTGCAACTTTGTTCATAGTTCCAAGCACTCTAATCATGTCCATATTAATTTTTAGTTCATTTATAATGACAGATCAATAATTTTGTTAAAATTATGACAAAACCAACATAGTTAATAAAATTACTTTTTTTTTTTTTTTTTTTTTTATAAAACAGGTGGCTTGTCCCTTGCCATAGAAGGCCCCTCAAAGACAGAGATCCAGTGCAAGGACAATGAAGATGGCACCTGCACAGTTTCCTATCTGCCAACAGCACCAGGAGAGTATCAGATCACTGTCAAGTTTGCAGACAAGCACATTGCTGGTTCACCCTTCACTGCTAAAGTTACTCGTAAGTTGACCTCTCATTGCATGCTTGGTCATGTGAACTTGAACACATTAACGGTTTTCCACCATTTTAATCATAAAAAGTATGTGGTTGTTATTGAAAGAACAAAACACTAATTTCATTTGATTTGTTGAATCACTTACTAGATTGAATTAACCAAACAGTGATTGGTGGTAGTAAACTCATTGAATAATTCAGAAGTTCAACACCGTATGAAAGTCAGTTCTTCTTGGTTCTATTTTTGAAACTGTGTTACACTTTTCAGCTGGAGAGCCAAGACGAAAGAACCAGATTTTGGTTGGAAGCAGTTCAGAAGTCTCCCTCAAGGTAACCGAGCAGGATATAGAGAGCCTGACCTCCACAATCATCTCACCATCAGGTCGGGAGGAACCTTGCTTCCTTAAGAGACTGGCTAATGGACACTTGGGTAGGTTGACATCAAGCAATATCATGTGCTGTACATAGTTGCAGCTTAAACATCAGCATCATGCAGTCTGTGTGTTAATGGGAGAAAATATGAGTTTGTCATCATGCTTTTATTGTTGTTATTGAGTCAGGCTTGAAAATAAATGCTGTGCCCATCAGTGGGGTAGATCACATATGACAGATGTTGGAAACTAGTTGTTTATTGATTTCAAATATATTTGTTTCAGGTATCACCTTCACACCTCGTGAGACTGGTGAACATCTGGTGAATGTGTTCCGTAATGGACAGCACATTGCCAACTCACCTTTCAAGATAACGGTCGGAGAGAGCGAAATCGGCAATGCAAGCAAGGTCAAGGTTTACGGCAAAGGGTTGGAGCAGGGACTGGCCAATGAAGTCAATGAGTTCATTGTTGATACTCGTGAAGCTGGTGAGCAACTCATGATAAAATATTTTTACATTTGTCTTTCCAAATATACCATTTATAATAATGAATGCACCTTTTGTATGGTGGTTGTTCAATTACACAAAGTGAAATAGATGAACTCAACATTTGACATTGTCATTAACATTTGACTTGTCTTTTTTTTTCCACATTAACTGAATGTCGCATTATGGAAATTAAATGAAAATTTCTTTTTTAAACAAATATGTTACCAGTACTAAAAAAATGTTAATAGTCATGGAATAAGTATTCAGAACTTCATATACTTCTTTCTGTCATTTTTTAATAGAGGAAAAACAAAAAAATATTAACGTTAATTACGTGAACAAAATCTTATTAACTTTAGATCTAGATTTCAGCTACATCAAAGTTGAAACAGGCGTTTTATTTCTAATTTTCATCGTTGAGTTTAAGAGACTTGTATTAATGATAGTTTTTGTGTTCTGTTTCAGGCTACGGTGGTATGTCTCTCTCCATTGAGGGACCCAGCAAAGCTGACATTGAATGCCATGACAATGAAGATGGTACATGCCGTGTGACCTACAAACCCACTGAACCAGGAACCTACATCATCAACATTAAGTTTGCTGACCAACATGTTCCAGGTGAGCTCTTAACATTTTTACCAATGATGATAGCTATTCCTGTTACTTTTTTGTCTATTCATTTTTGGTTTAATCAATATCATTTAAAATATAGTTGTTTTAAGAAAATTTAATGAAGATTTCATTAACTGCATGGTTCTTTGTTATTCACCTTGCTGTACATGTCGACCTAAATGTAGTGGAAATAAGTAAACAGCAAAGTATTAAGAAAATAAAGATTATCTGCTTAAGATCTAAATGAATCAACATAACCATCATTGCTGTACCAAAATTTTAGTTTTGTCTTACTTATACAAATTTGTTTTTTCTTCTACTCTGATGTCAACCTTTATGTCTCCATCTTCCATTGTCCTTGTATGTAGTCTACATTCTTGCCAATCACACATATCTTTTATGTATCAAATAATCTCTACATTGATCAACTCTGTGTGCTTCCAGGCAGTCCATTCACAGTGAAGATTGGAGGGGAACCCTCTGCCAAAATCACAGAGCGTATCACACGTCACAAAGAGGCTGCTGACGTCACACATGTGGGCAGCCAGTGTGAGCTTAGCTTGAAGATTCCAGGTAAGATATTTATCCCTGTCAAATTTCTTGTTTAGAAGTAATCAGTGTGAAAGCTAACTGAATGGCTGAAGTGACAATCTCAAAATTGGAGAATTGTACAATTTTAAATCCTATTTTGGACATCAAACACAGCATGTGACTTGCTTGGATTAGGTACTTAAATCTGTTTACAAAATCAGAGTTGCATTGTGTTGTATTTCAGTAAACCTTGTTGTTTGTGTTTTTGTGCAAGATGTTTGTTACTTTTAACAATATTCTCACCATGGATCACTTCATTCTTTCACGGTACCAGTATGTGTGTATGTTTGATGGCATTTTGCGTGTGTCTGCTGTTTGTAGTTTTGTCATGATATAGTTAACAGAGTCACTGAGACTAATAGTTAGGCTAAGAGGACTTACAATTTCTTTCATGGTTTGTACTAACACTAACCTTCTCCACAAGCTTGTCTGATCTGAGAAATGCAACAGTTTCAGAGTTATTGAATAATTTGAAAGGAAGCTTCTCCTGGTTTGTTTTGGGTTGTAGGTGGTGTAATCATAAACAAAAAAACAGTTACATTGTGCATTTCATTGTTTAAATCAGTCTCTTCTCTCCCTACCATATTTTATTCTCAACTTTACCCTGGTAGTAATAAAATGTTACCGTTAGTTCGTCATCATTTGTTGATTATTGCAACAACTGGTTGTTTGTGTGTAGGCACTGCTTGATTCAATTGTCTTATCTCAGGTATATTGAGCTTGTCAAGAGGTTAAGAGAGGGAAGAAATACTTTTTATCTTAGTTTGTGCTTTAAATAGAAAGCAAGTCTGGCAGTTTATCAGGTAGCAAGCCATGACAGGGAGCTGCAGATAGGAAATATCAATATGGATGCTTCTGCAGGCTCTGCTCTTTTTCTTTGGTTCACCTGTTTTATCTAGGACAAAGTGCCAGTCTATAAGATTTATATTGCTAGCTATTGCTGAGTTTGTTTTTATTCTTTTGGATTATTTTTTTTCCCCAACAAGTTTTTCTCTGTCCTGAGCTTTGAATATCAGAGCCCGTTTTAGTTTCTTGACTTTTGTGCCAGTTGTTTGTTTCTAGTCCTAAATGACTCTTTCCAGCATCTATTATGATACCTGGTACCAGGGTATGGGTCAGCAAGTTGCATTTAACTGTTCAGGCCTTCATTCATTTTTCTATTTTATTATATTATATCCATTTGAATTTTAATTAAAGTTGGTAGTTAATATGAGGTGGGACCTCCAAATAACAGGATTACTTTATTGTCCTTTGTCAGTATGAGGTCTTGTGCAAGTGTTTAGGCATATTCTGACTTAATCTTGTGTTTAAAGTGCAAATACTAGTAAAAAAAATTCAATCAAATATATTGATTAACAAAACCAAATTTGTTCACATCCCGTGTTCGCATGAATTCTATATCTGTCTACATAAAAGGTTGCTTTTTGATATTTCTAGCAAATCTCATGTCGTAAACAAAACAAAACAACTGGTAAAGCATATTTACTCAAAAATATTTGTGAATGCTTCTTCCCATTTACTGAGCATGTTACTACAATATTCATTAGTTGGCTGCATATTTGCTCATTATTAAGGAATGCCTCGCTTTAATAAATGTTAAGAAGTTGACATACCCAATAAGAACTTGTTTTTAACTCCAAAATGTATTTTGAGCATTCAGTTCACATTTTGATTTAAAATTAAAGTAAATAAGTTGCTTGGGTGTTTTCATATTTTTTAAAATGTCCCTTATTTTTAAAGTTCATAGATGATAACATTGTCTTACCTAGCCAATAATGTCATCCAGAACTACTAGTTCTCAGGAAGCTAGTAATAAGCTATAACAGGTGCTTCTTTCCCTACACCTTTCTACAGGTGGCAACTTTCCAAATTTAAAGGTATTCAGAGCCATACAGTGTTTTAATTTGAGAGTGAAAAAAACCCAACCTGTTATTTTTAGTGTAAATGTATCACTGAATTTGCTTGATTTATAGTTTTCATAACTGTATATATCTAGATTTGAGATTTGATGCAGTCTATTTAAGTGATATGGATCAATGGGTGGCAAGGATGTAAGTTAGATATCAAAATTTTAAAAGTAGATTAGAGGAAATGGCTCAAAAACTAAAAAAAAAGATATGATTTTTAAAAAAAAATATGAAAAAACAAATAAAGTTCAAATACACTATTATTGGAATTCTGCTAATAGTGTATTTGAACTAGCATGCACAACACAAATGTATGAATCAGCTGAGGTTTCAAACATTGTTCTCATGGCCGATACATTTTCCTTTTGATGTCTGGATAGCATAGGGACACCTGACTTTTTCCTAATTAAAGCATTCCAAAAATAACCCCAGAAGAACCAGATCACCAAAATAACCCAAGAGCTGCCAGTTATAAAATTCTTTATGAGCCCAGTTTTCCTGTAAGAAGTATTGGTTTTTTTTTTTTTTTAAGGGAACACCTGAGTGTGCAGTGTATCCAAGATGTCTGAGGCAATTTAACCCACTGATTAGATTACCCCCCCTCCCACCAACTCACACACAAAAACCACCTTCCTAAACCAGTTTGGTCCCCTAGAGGTAGCTCACACTCTGAGGTAGGCACAGGCCTAAAACTGATTCCATATCTGTCTGAGTTGGGCAGGTAGAAAGTGTTGTTTTTTTTCTCAAATCCAATTTTGTGAACTGTGAGCATTTTATAAATAACATTTAAATAGTGAAATATTTTATTCAAGTGTGTTTTTCCATGGTTGAGTGTTAATTTGTATTTAGTAATAACTAATTTGGTTGCATAATTTTTGTTTAAATTGTCAAGAAAAATAAATAAAAAATATCATTCATTGTGTTCTGATCATTCTGCATGATAATACAGGCTATTTTTAAATGTGGAGCATAGGTAATGGGATTGGAAGGAGGCTTTGGTGCACCTAGTTACCAAATCTTTGGTGTTAGCCAAGTATCTGTTCTTTTAATAGGACTAGGAGTCTTCTGTTTGAAGTGTTTGTGACATGTGGCACCAGCTGACTCAGCACACAATGATCAATTCTTTTGTTAAACTTATCTCTTCCAGTTTATTTTTGGATAATGCTTTTTTTAATGTACGGACCGATACCAGTAGTTAAAAAAAATATATTTTTTTGTGTTATGGATCAAGTTCTCTGTGATTTTGATACATTTATTGGTTAATAAAGAAAGTGAATAATTATTACATGGAGCTTTTGGAATACAGTGGTTTGTAATATGAAACCAACTACTTTGTAAAACTGGCTTTCACATAGTTTAGGTCTGCTGCACCATAAAAAAATATTCTTAACCTATTACATCTTATCTTATGGCAAATCTAGCTCACTTCATTGCTGGTACCTGGAATATAGAAAAGTAAATGTAAAAAAACATTTTGACATTTCTCTTGCCCAAATCCAAATTTTAATAATTAAAAATAAAATATGACATCTTTTCCATGTAAAAGCTGAAAATTTACATGCAACTTCTGTATATAATAAATATATTGGTACAGAACCAGTGGAGTATTCAAATTCAAACCTTAGTAGCTATAATTTTTTTAAATTGAAATGACTTTTTCTTATTCACGTGATCATGGGTCCACTGTTAGAATATTTTCAATTATGTGCACAGAGTTGTCTTGTTGTTTAAGTTTAGATTTTGAAAATCTGGATCAGAGTTGAAACACCAAAAAAAAGAACATTGGCTCTATTTTAACTTTTTGTGAGGCTGTGCAAAGTGTACGAAAATGTCAGTTACTTATAGCACTCATCCTATAATGACTACTCATCCTATAATGACCAGTCATCCAATAATGACCGGTCATCCTTTAGTGACCACTCATCCTATAATGACTCTGCTTAAATCTCAGCCATCGCCGGCTGTGGAAGTACCTATAACTATTAAAAAACCAGAGACTTACACAGGTTTGTATTGCGATATGTTGCACTTTTTATGTAGCAATGTCTCATTTTTCACTATGTATATTACTTTGGATTTTGGAATATTGTGATATTTAAATTAATTTGATATCGGTCTGTTGTATGTTTAAATATGTTGTGTATATTTATGATTATATGTAGTGTAAATAATAATTCTAATATTTATATATGTTCATTAGCTTAACTTTTCTATTTACAAAATTTTTTCTCTTCTTCACTTAATACATACTTATCCTTAAAAACACTGGTCAACAATTGACATCCTTTACTTTTGATGCATTCATTGTACCAAGATCTAGACTTATTTCCATCATACAGGTATGTAGTAATTATAAATTGAATCATGTAGCCTAAGTGTATCATTGTCTAAATTTCTATATTATTATTATTTAATCCAACAGGCACCACACCATTTGACATGACAGCTTCGGTGAAGAGCCCATCTGGTGTGACCGAGCTGTGTGATGTCTTGAGCTTGGATGACTCCCGCTACAGCATTAAGTTTGTGCCAAAAGAGATGGGTGTGCACACAGTCAGTGTTAAACACAAGGACATGCATATTCCAGGTCAGTTGTGATGATTAGATATGTAAGATGTCACTTAAATGGGAAACCCATGACAGCATGGTCCGTTACAAGTCACAGAAATAATGTTAAAAAATCTATTATACCAGGGTGTCCAACCTTTTAGCTTCCCTGGGCCACATTGAAAGAAGACCAATTGTTTTTGGGCCACACATAAAATATATTTTGAGATTACCATGGTTTCATTTTCACTTAGAACGCTATTATAGTATGAAACAATATATATATATATATATATATGGGTTCTTTAGTGCCATTTAAGACAGAACTAAATCAAGAGATTTATATGAACTATATGAGTTTACAGTGAAACCAACGCTATTATAGTATTTATATATATATATGTACTATAATAGCGTTGGTTTCACTTATAATAAATAATATCATAAAACAAGGAAATAATTAAATATTATTTAAGAAAATGAGAAAAGTACTGGTGTTAGTAAAACTTTTACATTAATGATATACTGAAATCTTGTTTTTAATAAAATATTAGAAATTAGTTGTAATAATTGATTACTAAAAAAAATTGCTGTCATAGCCATTAATCGACGAATCAATGGTTTTAACAAAATTTTGGAATGGGTAAGATCCAGTAACTTTTGTTATTGAATAATAATTTAATTTTTCTATTGTCATTGAACAATAATATAATTTTATTTTTATTACAGGCAGTCCCTTTGAGTTCACAGTTGGCCCTATTGCCGGAGGAGGTGCACACAAAGTACATGCTTCTGGACCTGGTCTCGAGAGGGGAGAGGTGGATGTTCCCAGTAAGTCATACACTTTCACTTTTTTGTAACAAAATATGAATTTCATCTAGTTATCATCTTTTATTTTGTTGAAACTTTATTCTTTGCATTTAATTATTTAAGGGTAGAATATATATATATAATAAACTAACAAAAAGTATTGTTTAATAAATTGGATAAAAACTTTTTTATATTTTTTAAAATATTTAATGTGAATATGTAATGTTATTACATTATCAAACAAACATGGCTTTATCAGTTTTCAAAAAGTCTTACCCCACGTTTAGCATTTAAAAAATATTTATGAGATACATTTAATACACATTTCTGCAGAAAAGTAATACATTAAAAAAAAATTAAGAAAACCATTTCATGAGGTTCTCATGTCTTTGTCAGATGAGTTCAACATCTACACAAGAGAAGCTGGTGCCGGAGGCTTGTCTATTGCCGTTGAAGGACCATCCAAAGCTGAGATTGACTTCCAGGACAAGAAAGATGGATCATGTCAAGTATCTTACAGAGTTTCAGAGCCTGGTTAGTAGCACAAATCATTTTTTAGTGTACAAAATACTTATCAATAACTGTTTAATATATTCATTTTTTTATATTATTTAATTACATCAATATTCCAATGGGAAACAAGACCATAAATGTCATCAATCAGCTGTAAAATCTAAAAAAAAAGTTTACCATGAAATCTCTAATTCTTAATTAAAAAAAAGTATATGTTTAATGCTAATAGCAAATTTAAATTCTTTAACTAACAGATATCCATGTTAAAAAACATTAATATATTTGTATGCTCCCTGTTTTTCTGTTTTCATTTATTTGATCAGGACTATAAATGGTTTTTGTTACTGTAATTTCAGGAGAATACTATGTCTCGGTTAAGTTTAACGATGAGCATATCCCAGACTCTCCTTTCCGTGTCAACATTACTCCTTCCATTGGTGATGCCAGAAAAGTTGCTGTACAATCTCTTCAAGATAGAGGATTACAGGTAATTTGTCAAAATAAATCAAGTAGAGGATTGATAAAGCACAGTGGATAACACCTACATTCATAGTAACATTAAAAGAAGAAAACTAGAAAACAATAAATAATTATAAAAACTAGAAAACAATAAATAAATAAATATAATATAACGTAGTGAATATTTATGAGTTGGCTTCCAATATTATCCATCCATTTGTAAATGTTGCTGAAGTGGAAGTTAGTGATAAGAAAATGTTACATTAATGCAAAACTCCTTATTATAGGTGGGCAAACCTGCAGCCTTTGTGGTCAATTTCAATGGTGCCAAGGGCAGACTGACAGCCACTGTGGTGTCTCCATCAGGTTCTGAAGAGGAGGCTCTTGTACAAGACCTTGATGATGGTAAGTAAATCATTGACAAGAATGAGCTATTAAAATGTTTATTTTAAAAGATGAAAAGAAATTTATTTGTTTCATTTATACATAAAAATATGGAAAAATAATGAGTATCTCCAGCAGCTATAGTTAAAATTTATTTTAGTTATGATATATAAATTAATTCTCCTCTTCTATTTCTTCCTTAAAGCTAAATTATGTTGTAATAGGATGTTACACTGTTCTGGTTAAGAAAAATTGTAGTTTGAAATAATATTCTCTAAAATTTGTATAGTTATATATGTAATGTTTATGTTTATACACATTCTCACACCTTTTACTTCAATGATGCTCACAGGCAGATACGCAGTCAGATTCATCCCAAGAGAGAATGGTGTCCACTTTGTCCATGTTCTTTTTGACAACTACCACATCCCTGAATCTCCCTTCAAGATCTGTGTGGGCAAGATTGATGCTGATGCTGGCAAGGTCACAGCTTATGGAGATGGTCTTAAGACTGGCAGAACTGGTTAGTGGTGAATAAGTAAACTGATTAATCTGAAAAAACAACCTGGGTTTTAGCTTCTTTTATCTATTTGTTAAATAAATTAAGCCAATATCAATAGGTTTCTTTGCAATCTTTGTTTTTTTAACAGTAAGGCCAAAACTTTCTATTGGCTGAACCCTAAATGATTTGAATGTTTAAAGACAAAAGCAAAAAGAGCTCCATTTGATTATTATATAACCACAGCTGGGTGAGACTGTCTCATGAATGATACTTTCCCTATCAGCATGTTAATAAGACAAATTTAACTCTGCCTTTTATCACTTGTGTGGACTTATGGCCATACCTTCATGTTTAAATATATTTGATGTTTTTGTTGACGACAGGCCAAGTAGCCAAGTTCATCGTCAACACAGTCAATGCAGGATCGGGATCCCTGGCCGTCACTGTGGAAGGCCCATCTAAAGTTAAATTGGAATGTAGAGAGGTAAGTTGCATCAAATAAACCACACCAAATACACTTACAACCTGATAGTTTATTTTTAAAGTGTCTATATCATAAATGTTACTACCCTAACTTTTGACTACTCTTTATCAGTGCTCCCCAAAGTGGTGTCCATGGACCAGTGCCGGACTGCGCAACATAAATATTTATGGTTTACAAAAAATAGAGAAATAAAAATAATAATAAATCTGAAATTGGTCCCTGTGTACATTTTTTAATTTGTTTACCAAAATTAAAAGTTGGGAAAACGCTGCTCTATATCTGACTTTGACATTTATTTCAGGGATAATGTCTACTCTCAAAAAACAGAGTCAGCTAAATGACTTCTAAATAATTGTATTTTTTAATTACAATAATTTTACAATGATATAATTGATATCATGTATTATTTCCTTAAACTCTTGTTCCTAATCTAGTGACTTCTACTGCTCCACTCTCGCTGTTGTTCACATATTTAGTCCACTTTCTTTACTCATGTAACATTCACTAGGTAATAGTAACAATTCATTCATGCTTTAGTGGTCACATGGATATTGTATTGTTACAGATGTCTGAAATAATTGTGTTAACTATACTACATTTTTAAAGGTTGATGAGGGCTATGAGTTCAGCTACAGTCCTACTGCACCTGGTGACTACTTGATCTGTATCAGATATGCAGGTGTCAACATTGCAGGCAGTCCATTCAAGGCCAAGATTGAAGGTGAGAACAGACCTGTTTACTCTTAAGATTTTGACATACAATGTACGATTTTGAGATGTCTTTTATGATTGTACACCAAAACCTGTCAGAACTACGATTTTGATAGACCGGGTTGAAAATATATACATTCCTGTAGTTTTTTTTCGATTAAAAAGCAAAATTAATTCATTCAAAGATAGGCCTACATTTTCAATTGTTAGTTTTGATTTGCATTCTGCATCCAGCGGTGAATGCATCGAGAAATAGGATTGGTTGAGGACCATCTATAATTATAATATATTTGCCCTGAGAGGCTAAAGCAGTCGTGTTGATTTAGATTTTGTGCATAAGGGTGGGTCTAAATATTTAAGTCTATAACATTATCACTGCCACATTTTCGTAATGAATGGGGGGGGGGGGGGGGGGTGTATGTGTGTTATTAAAAAAATTCTAAAATATTCATCCAAAAACTCTGAAAGTCCAAAAATAGAATATTTATATCTCTATTGCCGTAAAATATCAGCTGATGTTTAGTAGGAATTATTGTTGTGATGTTGCCATATATTTTCACAAATGAACTCGCTAGCTATACTCAGATATTACTCACTATTAGAGATATTACTAGACCACCGTATGTTCAATGTGCGTATGTTCAATGCATGTGCCACTCATATTTGGTTGGGCTATGCTAGTAATTCTAAATTTTTTTTTGCCCTGCGCCTTTGCCAAATTTAGGTTTTCAACAGGCTCCCTGTGTGAAATTCCAACAAATACACTTTAAAATAGCAAATACATAAACAGAATAAAATAAAGGGTTAGGTAAATATAAATATAATATTTATGTAGGTCACTGAGCGCCATCTAGTAGCTGCAAACAGTAGTTACTCCAGTGGGCTACTGTTTAAACCACAAACAAAAGTTGTCACATTGGATTAAACAAGGAAATAAAATTATGAAAATTGTGTAATATTTTGCAACGCTCCTGTAACCCATGCAGAAAAAAATCTTCAACTCCCCTATCTCTGCGGACCAGTGAAAGGATAATTTATTGTGCCCTTTGTCTTGGAGATGTAAATGGGATTTTATAGCTTAATTTACTATTAAGTTTCTTTCTAAAGACGATTTTGGCGCCTGTTACTCTCCACCCCATTCTCATGGCCCTGCCCGAGGGCAAATAGCACCCAGGGCGATGTGGCGTATATTTTGGTAAACAATGGTCTCGCCAGTGGTGAAAACCTGTGCCACATTTTTTTTACTGTAACATAACTATATAAAGATTATTAGATTGTTTTGGTTGGGAGGGGGCAGTTTGAACCACATTGAATAGCACCTGTAACTTTATTTTTACTAGTGACAGACTGTTACAATGTGATCTGCATGTTCACCTAAATATTAAATGCTATCTATAGCATATAAACGTCTGCAAAAAAAAGTAACTGCAGTTTGGAGTTAACATCAGGCATCTACTTTTTACCTTTATTTCCCTTTTTTTACACCAGCTCTACTCAATTCTACTAGACACGCTATGCGAGTTTACATTATGAATACTGTATGTTGACTTATTTACTATTGAGATACTGTTTTGTACAATTTTGAGACAATATTGTACGATTTCAGGAGTTTGAGAGTAAAAAAGTCTGTGAGAACCTTCATAAACTTCATTACTTTACAGTATAAAAATTATTGTTGGATTTAGACTTTAATTATGTGATTAAATGGAAATTATCAATACGATTAAGTCTCAGAAATTGAGTAAAGCCTGTTTATGTTCAAAATGCAATATTAACCTAAAACTAGCGATACCGGTATAAAAAATATTTTAGTCTCGATAATTCAAATGGAAATTAATGTAAAAACGTTTGTCGCAGTCAGACGATAAGGAGGAAAATTTTTAAAAGCATATTTTTTATTAGTGCACTTTAAATAAATTCTATCTAATATGTAGTAAAGTATTTAACTATAAAATTCATATTTAGAATATATAAACTGATTTACCTTTGTATGATCCAGGCCAAGGTCAGCCAAGTGCAATGCAAGAGCATGCGTCGGTTGTAGTTGAAACTGTGACTAAGACAAGCACCACCACCAGATTCAGTGGCATTCAGAGATTTAGCTCTGATGCCAGCAAGGTCACCGCAAAGGGTCAAGGTCTCACCAAAGCTTTCCGTGGCAAAACTGCTGCCTTCACTGTTGATGCATCAGGAGCTGGTGAGTTTCATTCTATATTAATTAAAGAGTAAGATTTAATATTTAAAGCACTTGTATATTATAAGTTCCACTTAAGATTTTTTTGGTTGCATGATTTTATTTCCTTAAAAGACCTAATTATTTCTTTCATCCAGTTTTTATTGTCTTGAGGAATACTTAAAATCAGTGTGTATAAACTCTATAGTATCAGCAGAAGGGCCCCTTGTATTAGTTATTAGTTTTAAAAGAAATCTTATTCTCTTAGGTCCAGTGGAAACTGCACATTTTTAAAGGATAAAATGTAATGGAGAAATCTTTTTTAAAAACCAACTGTGAAATACAGTCATTAAAATACAGTCAAAGAAAGTCATTGGAACTAAGGGTTTTCAGACCTAAATATCTAAAGGACAAAACCTCACCATATATCTATTTAAATAGCTAATCCCTAAAACGATTTTTTTTGTAAAGTGGAAATAGGGGTATTAAATTAAACATTACAATCATTTAAGAAAGATGAAATAAATAATTCAAATCTATATTCTATCCTCACCAGGAAACAACATTATGTATATTGGCATGATGGGACCTAAAGGCCCCTGTGATGAGCTAATTGTCAAACACCAGGGCAACCTGCAGTACTCAGTCCAGTACATAGTCAAGGAAAGTGGTCGCTACATGCTCATCATCAGATGGGGAGACCAGGAGATCCCTGGCAGTCCTTTTGCTGTTGAGGTGCAGTAGGCTCGACTAGGAAAGTTTTTAACAATTTTTAACCAACAAATTTTAGGAATCAAATTGATTTTTAAGTTTCGGGGTCAAGTACTCTTGAAATATCTGTACATTAACAAAGGACATTAATACTTGAAGTGAATATATAATTGCTGCGTGTTTCTGACTGAGATTTATTGCTGACATCCTTGCTTGTCACTTGACTGTGTACACAAGATGTAAGCATCATAAATCTAGGTAATTTTTAAATTTTAGTTTGTGAGCCATCAATTTTAGATACAAACTGCACACAGTGCATTTTTGCATTTAAGCACTACTTTGAAATTTTTTTTTAAAGGTAGACAAGATTTATGATTTATTTCATATATGCATAGATTTTTTTTTCTTTACTAAGACAATTTAGAATAATTAATGTATGTATGATAAATATTTCCATTTTTAAAAAAAAAATTATTATAATACTGAACCACGTCCGATTCAATGTTGATCTGAAAAACTACACGTCCTCTTTAAAAGTGCCTATGAACTACTGTATTTAAAAAAGAAAATTCCAGCTGTGTTGTAAAATAAAAAGTAAAAAATTTATAACGGAGGTTCAGTTTATATTTGAATACCGGTATGCAAAAACATTTTTTTACAAGAAAAGATTGTTTTCTAAAGTAATTTGGTTTTTAAGAATTTTAAAACTATAAGTAATGTTAATGGTTGTGAATATTTGTTTGGAATGCATAACCATGGGCCTTACATCAGGAATCATTGAATACAGTATCAAGAGATATGTGTATGTTGATGCATTTTAAAGAATGGGTGGTGTTTTATTGAAAATTTAGAATAGTTTTTTTGTGTTATTTTAATGTGTCAAATATTCATGTAAATCATCATTTATAAAATGGGAAAGTTAGAATCTTTTAACTAGTAAAAATACAATATGCCAATAGCGTCATCAAAAATTATCTTTTCAATATACAAAACTTTACTTACTAAAAAATTTCTTAGTAGTAGAAATTAGAATTCATTTGTAAATACTAGATTTGATAAATATATATTCATAATTTATAAAAAAAAAAATTCTTATCAATGAGAAATTCTTTTAGCAATAAAAATGAGGTATAATTCTTCCATATTCATTGACAAGATTTTATGTATCATATTTGTGTGTGATCTTTAGCACTGCTCTGTTCACTGTTATGTTATCTTTCTCCACCGTTCTAGAAGAAAACATTAATTGTATGTTTTTTCAAAAGGTGCTATTTACTGTATTTAACCATTTAAAATAGGTTTCACTTGACATGTGATAAGTCCAATAATTAAATGAACTAAATTAAACTCGCATTTAATCGAGCAAGCTTATACTTATTGGTCAATATTAAAATATTTTTATGATTTAGCATGGGAATTAATGAAAGTATGAAATAATCTTAAAGTTTGCTTAGCTTTTATTTTATTTTATTTACTGTATGTGTTTCTAAGCATATACATGTGCACACAGAATATAATATATATTTATAACTTTTCTTTAAAAATATGAATACATATATATTTAAGAATTTTCAAATCTGTTCATCTTGTGTATTGTCTAATTAAAAAATTGTGTACATAATACATACTTATATATATAATATATATACTTTAGCTGTCTTAATTGATGGCCTAAAAAAAAATCATTGTTTTTCATTTAATGTGCTTGTGATCATATAAAATACTCCTTGCAAATGCTTTTTGCTCTAGCATTTATAATGCCTATACTATTTTCTCCAGTGTATTTTTATTGATTAAAAAAAATTTCATCAAATAAGTTTTTCTTCTTCATTATTTCAGAAAATAGTATTGCTTTCAATGTTTGTCATTTTAATTTTGTTTCCATATTAAAATTAGGCAGTACACTTTAAAAAAAAAAAAAAACAGTCCTTAACACTCTTTATTTTTTATTTAAACAAGTTTTTCTGTTTATTTATTATAATAAGAAAATCATTCAACATTTATATGAATTTTACTGACTTATTTGTCAATGCTTATATAGTAGAAGATATACCTAAAATAATTTTTTAAAACACTAATATTACACTTTAAGATTCAGATCAATCAAAACTATCATTGAATCATTCTTTTTGTTGTTCAATTGACTCTAAGGCTTGTATGTAGGTTTGTATGCATGTGAATATACCTGTCTGTGCTGCAGGAAATTCACAGTGTCAGACTAATTTTTGACTGCTCAATCTTACATTGTGTGTGTTCATCATGGTTCTGTGTTGAGTTTTTTTTTATATACACATTTATTTTTAAGTTTATTTTTGGATGTGTGCGTCTGCTAGTCTGTTTATTTTTGCTAATATGCAACTTATTTTATTTTACTGACAATAGGCTCTTTTCATTAAATTTCTTTTTTGTAAACATGGTGTTTTTAAGTTGGATTTATTTCTTATAATTTAATCAAACCAAATGCTTTCAATCAAATTTATTATTTTTTTTAAAAAAAGGAAGAAAAAAAGCATTTATTTCAGTCACAAGAGAAGGTAATATAACTTTATAAATGAAAAAATGTAGAAAGTCAACTCATGTTTACCCAAAAAATTTTGACTTTGTGAAAAAAAATCTTTACGGACAATTTTAAAAATACAAAGAAATTAAATTGGGTAAAAACATATTTACATCTTGCAAATGACCTTAGAGCCTTGGACTGTCCTGGTCAGTCATCTGGAAACAAGTTAATTAAAACAAACTTTTTAAAAAAAATTTAAGCTTACAAAGGATCATATACACTTTTCATCAAAAGGAAAAAGTAATCGATATACCCAGTATATGATAGATATTTTTTAATGATGTCACTGGGGAAAATACATTTCTTGGATGCAACTTGAAAACTCTAATATTTAAATTTTAATCTAGTCACCTCCACTTGAAGTAGCATCTTTCAAGACGTATTAGTATTGTATCGGTATAAGCCTAAAACAAAATCAATGTACCAACATACAGATACTATTTTTGATAGATAAATTGAAGATACATTCAAAATGAAAACTGCGACAAGTAGAATATGTATAACAACATTTAATAGAGCATCAGGAACCAACCAAACGAAGGGTTCAAAGTTTATAATTGGGGTGTCGAGTTTAATTGAAAGCGCCAACTGATTCTTAAAGTAGACAACTTCTTCAAATTCGTCTTCACGTTGCTCTCAGAAGAAAAGAAATGGGTTCAAGTCTGAAATAGTTTTACTTTGTACAACTAAGTGCCGAGATGGGGAAAAAAAACAAAACCCGAGTCCCCAAGAGCACAAGTGCTGATTTTAAGAATGACTTCTTTAGCAGATGGAACAGCGTGGACATGGGCGGCTGTCACACGGCTTTTCACGATGACTTCTTTAGCAGATGGAACAGCGTGGACATGGGCGGCTGTCACACGGCTTTTCACGATGACTTCTTTAGCAGATGGAACAGCGTGGACATGGGCGGCTGTCACACAGCTTTTCACGATGACTTCTTTAGCAGATGGAACAGCGTGGACATGGGCGGCTGTCACACGGCTTTTCACGCGGAAACTCACACCAGAGAAGTGTCCAGAAGAAACGTGTTTTATTTTCTCCTTTTTATGTATGGTGGGGGGTCAGGTCCTGCCTTAGTAACTTTGGCGCCCCCCCCCCCTTTTCTCCTTAATGCTCTTAATGCAATATTAAAATCTAATTTGATCGCAATTAAGATGACTTTTTATTTACAATGTGAATTGTAATGACTGGAAAAATTCAGCATGCGGTAACTATACAATGTTTTAATATTTAAAATTTTCATCGGCATCTCCATAATCTAGTCGACTGTTAACATCATATTCAGCACCGGTACCGATAGACATCATGACCAATGAGGTGAGTCTTTCCTGGGTCAAATATGCTCTTAAATATGATTCAATCAATGTTAAAAAATAAAAACAAAATAAAACAACCTTCTTCCTCCAGCGGCAAAGCTAACATGAATTGTAACGGAATTCGAAAAGAAATTATCGTATCCCAGAGGCGTAGCGAAGGTGTTTGGCGCCCGGGGTCAAGATTCGCGCCCGGGGACAAGATCCATTTTAAAGCGCCCCCTTTTCTTTTTTTCCAACTCTCAAACCCATTATTTTTACCAATAATATAATGTCAAAGCACATTTTGGCGCCCCCTAACTAGCTGGCGCCCGGGGACATCTGTCCCCCCTCCCCTCCCCCACTCGCTACGCCTCTGCCGTGTCCAGAAAATAACTTGACTGTCAAAACATTGAGAACGTTCAGAAATGATTTCTTGCAGGGCAGCATGTTTACATTAGAGAGTATTTCATCACATAATTTAATCCATCAATGTCGGGGATATTCAAGCGTGTTAGCACATTTTGTAAATCTTTATTTTCCAACAATTTGTTACGAGACAATTTAAAAAAAAAATCTTTTAGCATTATATAGAAACGAACAATAAATTTGAATTCCTTCAATGAATTAACAAGTGGTGTTGATTGATGTGGCACTAGATGATCTCTTCCTGTTTCAGAGACGGCAAACATTACATTAGAAACCTCGCCTGGCTGATCACAAATGGTCACAATACTGTCATTCTTTATTCACTGCGAGTATCAGATAATTTTACCGTTAGTTTTGACAGAATGATTTTCATAATTTTCCCCACAAGCTGTTGATGTACAGAAAAACACATAAATCTGCGAAATTTATCCGAAAAATGATGTTGTAGCTACCGTGGCTGTTGCATTATTGCCTGTCCAATGACATAGAAAGGGGTGCTGATGAGGGGACAACCCCCCCCCCCCCCGGGGGTTTTTTATCATTAATAGATGTTGCAGAGTGGCGGTGAGGGTCGGATTACAATTACACCCACTTTCTGATATTTCGGAGTCCGACCAAGTTTCCGAATAGATCATGAGTCACATACTGTACAGATGTATGTGGAATAAAAAAACACTTTTTTTTAAATTTTTATATTTCTGTATTTAAAATGCACCTTTTAACATAGCGACACATGGCGACCTTTTCCATATACATTTTTTCGCGTAAATGTTGTATTTCGGTTCTTGGTTTATCGGCGGAATATATAACGTCAACGGCCCCGCAAAATTCAATTTGCCCATGGCCCCGAACCCTCCTGGCGCCGGCCCTGGTCCTAAATTATCATTTTTCTTTTAATCTTTTTTCCTTGGTCTTCTCATTCAACGTGTTGTTGTGAGGCAAACAATTAATCGTTCAACTAAATTTATTTTAATAAGAAAACACGGCAAATGTTTTTTAAAAAGTTGCATTTTTACAAAGATTGTTTAGGATATCCTGTTATTTCACTTAAATAACTCTGTTATACGACTCAGTCACGTTGGTTGTTAAAACGATTAAATCACCGAAGAATCGAACAAAATAGGACGCCCTTGCCTTTGGTGCTCCAGGCAGTTGTCTGGTTTGCCCGTATCAAAGACCGGCTCTGGGGGCGCTTTAATGTAAAAAAAAAAAAAGGGGGGGGGGTGTTATTGCAGTGACGCCCAGTCGGCATTTTTTGTCTTTATATTGAGGGGTGGAATTTTTCGGTCAAATACAAGGTTTGGCCCGCCACAGATGGCACTTACCTTGGCAACGTCATTCTGAGCGGCATTCTCTGCCTTTTACTTTTATATTAGCAACCACAAGCTTTCACAGGAGTACTGGGGTATTACGTTGTTATGAATTTAATTGATAACTTTTTTTGTTGGTACCATGTTTGAATGAGAAGACATGTCTTTGATTTAGCGTTAATTCAAAAAGGGGTTGTGTGTACATGTTAAAGACACTGCTAAATTCATCTCCGTATTGAGATATTAATAAAATTGGGACCAACAAAGATATGAGGATTGGTACTGGAATCCAAAGAGCCAGCTACCTTCAAAAGACGACAGTCTGTAACATACATCTCCATTTAAATAATAGCTTTTCACGGGTCATTTTATCACACATAGCAACGGGCGGAAATCTTGGAAACTAGAGGTACCAGCGGGAGGGGAGGGTGTTCACTGGAGGGACAGTCTTTTGTCAGTGGACCCTGGAATGTTAATAATATTTCACCCGTCCAAAGAGGCAGGAATTTCACTTCCGGTTGGACCTTGGCGGGGAAAGATAACATCTCCAGGGATAATAGCAACGTGGGCTGTGTGGTGTGTAGGGGTGCAGGGGCTGGGACGGGGGTGGCAGTTGATGGGTAGGTGATGCAGGTGGTGGGTGGAGGGGGAATGAAAAGTGCTGAATATGTTGCTTTCCGCATAGAGGGCTGAGCACAAAACTCTGTTGAAAAGATGGCTGCACTATCTGGACTCGTATATACAATTTTGGGGAGGGGGGTATTCAAGGGCGTCGGCGGTGATTTGGTTGGGGGGGGTGTGCTTTTGCTGTATTTCGCTAACATTTTGTCAAATACTAACGTTTTGTGTCACAATACTGTTACTAACATCGTCAAGCTTCCAAAATTTACTGACCTACTCATTCGATTTTTCAGTTGTATAGCCTACTATATCTTGACCATAATGTATTTTTATTTCAATATTTAAGTTCGTCAATAGTTATTATATGGTCTATGTAAAAATTTTAATATCTTCAGAGGATTTGTTGTCAAAACCTTTAATTTGTAATATTATATTAAATTATAAAGGGGCTATATCCTTATATATGTGAAAGTGAAAGATATTTTTAATATATTGATTTATTTCACATAAATATACTGTTAATTGCTAATCTGTTAAACATTAATATATATATATATATATATATATATAAAAAAAAGACTTTTTAAACGGGCGGTTTTGGGGGGGGGGGGGGAGAGAGGGTCCCTAATAATCATTTCGATCATCCAATCGTCATCCAAAGATTCAAATTGATACAAATTGTTAAAAACATTTTCCGGAGTATGTTATTTATAATTTATTGTATGGCAGTGTTTCTCGGGGCGAGTTATTTTTGTCAACACTGTAAGAATAAAAAACTTGAAGGTTTTAATTTTAAGCAAATATTGTTAGGAAAGTTTCGAATCCAGCTTTAAAAAAATGCGTCAGACATCACCTTAAAAACATTTACATCTAATTAGTTATCGAGGTTTTTCAAAGGAATTTCCTAAATCTACTTTCTAATTTTATTATGCAGTTGCTGACTGTCGTATTCTCTGACAAGACATGTCACCAAGAATTCACTTGTGTGCCAAGTTAATAAGGAATATAAAAAATAATCTTGTATATATGGTTTCTGTGCTTTACATCTAAAAATCACTATAATAATAATTGGAGGCAAACTGGTTTTTCAAGTCACTCCTCCCTGACAGTTGATTATTTATTTTTTAAAGAAAGGATTTAATAGTTAACAAATAGAGTTTTTAAAATTGCTGCTGTACATCAGAAATATTCAAACGTT